TTAATTTTTCCTTGTCTCCCGTCATGTGGTTGGAATATCCTGAGTCAAAGATCCAGTTCTTCTTGTAGTTCACCGCCCGAGATTGAGACACTATCGATGTTTTCATTTCTCTATCTTGGTTGTTGGCCTCCTCCCTTCATATTTTGTGGCTTTGTAATCAAACAATCTTCTTCACTCGTGTCAACCAATGCAAACAAGTTCTATATATCCCATTCATCTTCACTTGACAATTCTTCACTCCAGTTGCTCGATATTGCACCACTTCCTTCCATTCTTTTCTTATGCCAACAATCATGAGCAAAGTGACCTTTCTTGCCACAGTCGTAACACTCTTTGCTCTGTCCTTGGTGTGACTTCTCATCTCTTTCTTCTGTGTTTTGGTGAGCTACCCCTTGCTGCCTACTCCATCTTGGTCTTCTCCAGCTCTCTTGCCTTACATTGCTTCCTCCTTTCGATGACTTCTGATGCCCAACACCATTCTTCCTGCAAAAGAGTGCTTCCTCATCTTTGGCAGTATCTTTAGACAACTGCTAGTCTAAAGCTTCTTGATTTGCTAGAGTATTCTCTAGCTCCTCCAATGTCGGCTCTTTAGCCCATCCGTGGATCCGTGGACTACAACTTTCTTCATCTTGGTCTCGCTTATGCGTTTTTCAGGATCCAACTTTGAGATATCTTCACACAAGGATTTTACCTTAGTGAAGTACTCACTCACTGTTATATCTCGCCGAGAGATTGACAACGGCTCATTCTCGAGCATCTGTAGCTTCACATCATTAGTTCGAGCAAATAATTCAGCTAATGACTTCCATGCCTCCGCTGGTGTATTAGCCTTCTTGATACGTGGCAGCATGGTATCATCTACAACAACAACTAGCACGTAGAATGCTCTTCCAGCTTTGACATTCCATTTTTGGAGACTCTCGGATTCAGTAGGTGGTGTGGTTTGGCTTCCATCCACGATCTCCCACAGATCTTGTCCACGCAGGTAGAACTCCATACGAGTACTCCATGTATTGTAGTTGTTGTTGTTAAGCCAATCGATGCTACTCACTGATGTAGCCATATCCGCCATAGTGACTTGTTGATTTTTCGTAATCAACAAAGTAAGCTTGTTCCCAGACCAATAAGCTCCGTAGTCCCAGACTACAAACTTGCAACACCTCCACGTTACTTGGTTTCTAACCAAGTGACTCGTATGTCGGTCCCTGACCGGCTACTCTGCCTCAATGTATCACGAGTTCAAGGAAAACTTTTCTGATGTGGAAGATCAGACCTTGCTGCAACCGCAGAGCATACTCAGCATAACCTTGGCTCTGATACCACTTGTAGATTTTTACTTGATTGGGTATGCTATGAAATTGTACTTTACAAAATGTGGTTACTAAAATTACAACTTTACAAACTATATGCACTTGCTTGTAATTTAACAAACAAGCTCACACTCACTACAATAGGACTCACCACACAATAGCACTCTTCTCAAGCCTAAACTACTATCACCACACTCAATCTATTCTCACCACTACTACCTCACACCACTCTCAGCCTCTCCTCTTTCTATTCTTTCTTTTTTCTGCTCACTCTAACTTTCCTACACAAACCAAGCTCCCCCTTTAATAGCAAACATAACCGACTTAGAGGAATAAAATATCCCAAACAGGAACAACAACTCGTGGCTACAAATTGTCATTCTATTCCCTTCTATTTATTTGTCCTTCTTTCAGATTACTCTTCTTTTCCCTAGTTTTCTCTAGGACATTCTTTCAACTTTCCGTTCCAGATTTTTTTTTTAAATATCCAAATATATTTTGATAATTCTCAATAATCCCCCTCAAAATATATTTGGTCTTCTAGTCAAACTCGTACTAGTGTGGCACCCAATACTTGTTCATGTCATTCGCCTTACCACACTTCTTCTTGAACTTGTTTGTGTAACATTGTAACCTTTATACTATTCTTGTACCACTGCACAATTAGCGTACTTTGGGTTCTCCCACCTTTGTCTCTTAGACCTTCCCAATTTTGATATGTCTTTTCCAAACTCACGTGGTGGTGCTTCTCCTTGTACCCTCTGCTACACTCCATTTTTCCATGGAGACTTCTTCTTTTCAACTTGCTCCTTCTGACCATCATTGACTTCCTCAGTTGCCTCATCTACAACCTGTTTATCTTTTTGCTCTTCTTATTCAACTCTGGCTTCGCTTTCTGCCTTTTCTTCAACTTGATCCCTAGGTTCCTCTGATTCAGGCATCATCACCTTCTGAGGTAACCAGTATGATGTCATCTCGTCAAATACCACATTCCTTGACACGTGGCACTTTTTTTTCTCTGGATCACAACATCTCCATCTTTTTCTTTGTTCACCATATCCCAAAAAAATGCATCTTATAGCTTTCTTGTCAAGCTTGGTTCTTAGCTGGCCAGGCACAAAAACATAACAAACACATCCAAATACTAGAAAGTGACTAATCGTTGGTTTGATCTTCCAGATCATCTCAAACGGCAAGATGAATCCCAACTTTGGATGCGGTAGTCGGTTGGTTATATGCTCGATTGTCTTCATACATTCTGCCCATAACTTTGTCGTTATATTTTTGGCATGCAACATGGTACGACACATCTCCGCAAGGTGTCGACTCAATTGCTTAGCTACTTCGTTATCTGTGCAAAGACATCGAACTCTTCGGCCAATTTCAGCTTCAACCTTTTCTTTGAACTGCTTAATATTCTCAAAGGCCTTTGACTTGTCCTTCATAAAGTCGAGCCAAACATATCTCAAATAATCATCAATAAAAGTTATTATTTACCAAAACCCACTTACTGATGGTTGCTTTATTGGGCCAAACACGTCATAATGTACCAACTCTAGTGGCTCCTTGGCTATGAATTTTGAATCCTCGTACTGTAACTTATGTGTTTTCTCGTACTAACATCCTGAGCATACGGTATCTTCTCGCACTTCTAGTTGAGGTAGGCCTTTCAACATCGACTTCTTCATCATCAATTTCAGCTTGTGGTAGCTCACGTGCCCTAGGTGTGCATGCCACAAGTATGCCGTCTCATTCCTCCTTGTGCGATCCACGTAGGCTGACTATGCTGACATCACATAAACTGCACCTCGCTTCACTCCTTCCATGAACGGTGTGCCTATCACTTTTAGCTCTTTGTAGACCTTCACGTCATTAGGACCAAACATAACATAGTTTTCTGGAGCTGTTAGCTGTGTAATAGATATTAGTTTCTTCATCATCCCAGGCACGTGATATACTTCTTCTAGTTGAACTTCTCTGATTGGAGACAAAAGCTATGTTTGTCTTGCCCACGTGTGCGATCGGTAACCTTGCATTGTTTGCGGTTACTACAACTCGATGTCCTCTGTACTTCAAACTCTCCATTAATTTTTCCTTGTCTCCCGTCATGTGGTTGGAACATCCTGAGTCAAAGATCCAGTTCTTCTTGTATTTCACCGCCCGAGATTGAGACACTATCGATGTTTTCATTTCTCCATCTTGGTTGTTGGCCACCTCCTTCATATTTTGTGTCTCTGTAATCAAACATTCTTCTTCACTCGTGTCAACCAATGCAAACGAGTTCTCTATACCCCATTCATCTTCACTTGACAATTCGTCACTCCGGTTGCTTGATATTGCACCATTTCCTTCCATTCTTTCTTATGCCAACAATCTCGAGCAAAGTGACCTTTCTTGCCACATTCGTAACACGCTTTGCTCCGCCTTTGGTGTGACTTATCATCTCTTTCTTCTGTGTTTTGGTGAACTTCCCCTTGCTGCCTACTCCATCTTGGTCTTCTCCAGCTCTCTTACCTTACATTGCTTCCTCCTTTCGATGACTTCTGATGCCCAACACCATTCTTCCTACTAAAGAGTGCTTCCTCATCTTTGGCAGTATCTTTAGATAACTGCTTGTCTAAAGCTTCTTGATTTGCTAGAGTATTCTCTAGCTCCTCCAATGTCGGCTCTTTAGCCCATCCGTGGATTGCTGTAACGAGTCCATTAAACTCGGGACGCAATCCATGGACTATAACTTTCTTCATCCTGGTCTTGCTTATGCGATTGTCAAGATCCAACTTCGAGATATCTTCACACAAGGATTTTACCTTAGTGCAGTACTCACTCACTGTTATTTCTCGCTGAGATTGACAACAGCTCATTCTCGAGCATCTGCAGCTTCGCATTATTAGTTCGAGCAAATAATTCAGCTAATGACTTCCGTGCATCCGCTGGTGTATTAGACTTCTTGATACGTGGCAACAGGGTATCATCTACAGCAACAACTAGCACGTAGAATGCTCTTCCTGCTTTGATATTCCATTTCCGGAGACTCTCGGATTCGGTAGGTGGTGTGGTTTGGCTTCCGTCCATGATCTCTCACAGATCTTGTCCATGCAGGTAGAACTCCATACGAGTACTCCATGTATTGTAGTTGTTGTTGTTAAATGGATTGGATCATGGATCTAAGTAACATTTAAACATTGGACTTATATGTAAATCTCAAAAAGGTTATATACTAAAATTTCATGATAAAAATTTTAGATACCAAAACTTAATTTCTCAATGATATCTTTCGTATAAAAATACATTTTAGGTAAAAATATACAAAATATAGGTACCAAACTTTAATTTGTCAATGATCTATGACAATTTTTAACGCTCCGTTTACAATTTTATATGATAACCAATAGGTTATTCAATTTTAATAATTTGGTTTTTTAAATCAATTTATATCGTATAAGATCAATTAAGCTTTTGGCTGACAAATTTATATGAGAGTTTTTGTATAAACGGTGAATATATTAAGTTGTTTTTCAAATATAAATATCCACAACTACTCATTTTCAATTCAGAAAATAGGATGCGATACTCAACGTTCAACTTATCTCCCCCAAATTTATGAATCTACCATGATGGTAGTATACATTATTATTTCGGGGTCGTTTGGAAGTTGCGATTTTTAAATAGATGTATTGTTAAGAATGCATGTATAATATTATACATGTATTGTCGAATTTGATGCATTGTAGAATACAACGTTTGGTATGTGTGATTGTGTATGTCGCATCAGCTAAAAGCTGAGACAAAACAATCTCAACTCAACTATCTCAACAATCACAACTAAAAGTTGAGATATAACAATCACTCAAAATGAGTGATAGTTTCTGTCACATCACAGAAACAATCCATGTATTGTTCCTACTAAAAAAAACAAAAACATGATACATTATAAACAATACACGCATAATGACAATCCCAACAAAACTATCGCAACTTCCAAACGAATCGTTCATATATATCTCCATCGCCAAATCCTGACCCATTCCCACCAACTGTTAAGTTAAAGACGACACGGCGCCAACCCACGGATTCCGCACGTGACATTTAGAGGATGACAAAGTTGCTCCTCAACCAGCCGCTCGAATCTCACCATCGCCTGACCCGGCAAGGCGATAAACAAAATCAAGCTCCCTTTCTCCGTCGGATGATCAAAGAGCACCATATTATCATCCGACGGAGGCTCCACCAGCTGGCAGGAGATCGGCTTTCCCCAGCCAAAATCCGCCACAGAGAACGGCAACCTCGACATCGCCGTGGCCACCATCTTACCATAACCGCTGGGCCGCCGCTTATTAGCTCTCGTCATCACCTCGCAGTAATCGATCGCCGACCTCAATCGCCGGTCGCTCACCCTCCCAATTGCCTCCCGAATCTTCGCGGCGGCGTAGGAAACCGGATTCTCGAGGAGGTCACCTGCCAGGCTATGCGCCGCGGCGAAATTGAGCGCGTTCCCAAAATACCCTTTCGGCAGCGGCGGCTCGAATTTGGCCCTCGTGTTGACCACCAACAGGAGCCTTGTCAGCTGATCCGGCACCGTTTTCAGCGCGCGGTTTCGAGCCCTCCACGCGAATGCGAAGATGGCTTCGTAGGTGGAGTAGTGGTTGGTTAATGTGGCCCCGATTGCGTTTGATTTTGCCCTCTTGATCATTTCTGGAGTGAGTCGGATGTAGCTGCAGTGAGTCGTGATTTCTTCGGCTGCGGCGGCGGAGGATTTGTGCTGCTGCAGAGGTTCGAACTCGGAGTGGCGGAACTCGATTTTGGGTGGGGTTCTGGATCTGAGAATTGTCCTGTCGAGGAATGGCGGGACGGAGAGGGGCAGTCCTCTTGCGGTTTCGCCCCATGAGTTGACGAATTCCGCTATCGCTTGTCCGTCTCCCAATAGGTGATTGAAGGAGATTCCCACCACGAATCCTCCACATTTGAACCTAGTCACCTAATTGTACATTAAAAGCAGAAACAAAATTATTCTGCTGATGGTATTGGAACTTGGAAGGAATGATTTGAGTGTGACGATTTTACGAGCGAGTGGATTGTGTTGTGTGCAGTAATAATAGCTATTGTCTTTGTCCGGCTAAAATGCAATTTGTCATCAATATTTTCTGGATCAACATGCAAAAAGAAATCATGTACTAAAAGTCAAATAAATTTAGTTAACAAATTGTAATTTACATACGAAACCCAAACTCCTATTATTGAATTCATTTGTTCCAAATGTATTTCTACTAAAATACAAAAAATAAATAAATAAATTAATTTGACATATTCAAATACTAAAATAACTATCACTAAAATCAAACAAAAATAATAGAATACACAATTTCTTTAGTTACCTGAGCTATGAGAGGGATCTCGAATTTGTCGGGCACGCCAGGAAGATCATAAACCACCAGCTTCTCACGCGCGAACCTATCAAACGGCCGCGAGAAGTCAACGTCTTCCAGCGCACAATCGGCCTCCGCCTCGACGAAAACCACCCCTTCGCCGGAGCAATTCACGGAGGGCTTTCCCTCCGGCGAGAGGACCAGACGGCCGGCCATCGGGTAGTAGTGGACCAGGACCTTGCCTAGGGCGTCCCTGATGACCTCCGCGGCGCAATCGTTCCCTCTCCGCCGGTCGGACTTGAAGCAGTAGACGATGCGGATGATGCAGAAGACGTCGTCGACATTTGAGAGGAAGTAGACGCTCCCTTTCTCTCTGCTCTCCGCCGGCGGAACCAGGCTTGGGTTCCCCTTGGTCACCTGGAACTCGGTCGGGTTTCTTGTTGCGTTGTGATTCGACCCGGCCATTACTTTCCAGATTGATTAGATTACTGCTTCGGAGTAGATCTTTATATTTTTCTTTAGGTTGGGAGCGGGCGGCTGGGTTAGTGAAGGAAAGAGTGGATAAGCAAGGAGTGAAAGGAGATTTACTATTCGTCATTCTAAAACTCATTATTTGTCACCTAGCATTCATCAAAATGACTTAAATATCCTTTGTCCATGGGATAAATTGCAAATTCAATCACTGAAATTACTACATATTTCATATTTGGTCTCAAATAAATTAGGTTAATTACATAGTTGGTCACTAAGATTACTAAAAACATTCGGGTTTGGTCACTAAAAATATTTAATTCCGTTCGTTGTCACTAAAATTAATCAAACGATTCAAGTTTGGTCACTCTCCGTTACCTTTCGTCAACCTCCGTTAACGCCGTCAATTTTTTGCTGACGTGAGTGACTAGCACTTCTGTTAGCCACGTCAGCAAAAAAACTGACGGCGTTAACGGAGGTTGACGAAAGGTAACGGAGAGTGACCAAACTTGAATCGTTTGATTAATTTTAGTGACCACGAATGAAATTAAATATTTCTAGTGACAAAACCTGAACGCTTTTCGTAATTTCAGTGACCAACCATGTAATTGACCCCAAATAAATTTAATTCATTCATTATCACTATATAATAGTTCGTTACATTTCATTAATCTCCGTTAATTCTGTCAGTTGTATGCTAACATGGCTAACAAAAATGACAGTCTCTGGTGTCAAGTCTCGTATTTTCCAGTAATGGCTTCTATACGTTGCTCTGAGTACGTATATTATTGCTCCCCACTAGCAGTGGTTCTGGCAGCTAGACCTGTTTAAGCCTCGCGACCTTGACGACACTAAATTCACCCACTGCAGAAAACCAGGATTTTGATTATCAAAAGACTAATTTACAAAGATCAACCAGCAGCGCCACCCGAGCTACAACCGGAAAACAAGGCCCCAATCGCTAGCAGCCACAGATTCCTGTCTACATTCTGCATTTCCAATCAATGCAAAACCTGGAGCCACAGTAGAGAAAACCTTCAAATCAATTGTTGAAGAATTAAGCCACTTCGATGCACACCCCAACTTTACCACCACAGCACCAGGCCACACTAAGTAACCGGGAACTGGGAGACGGCACAGAGAAACAGGAAGCGCAACACACAGGGACGAGAAACATGATCACTGTGTAAAGGTAAACAACAGGAGAAGCAAGACGGATCGAAAATCAAAGCCCTAATTTGAAGGGTATGCTACAGCTTAGAGTTAACAATACGGCATTAAATCTGAACGATATCACACCCATTCTTAAGATACTAGTAGGTATGATTGAAACACGGATACAAGATAAAAAGAACCATTGAAAAGTTGCAAGCTTGGCCAATATTTGGCAAACCCAACGAGTATCTCCAACCAATTCTCTATATGAAAGTGAATTTCCTATATGATCAACACAAGACTCCATCACAAATCGCTCTTGTTCCGTGTATGGGACTATTGAACTACAGAGACAGCAGGGTTTTGTTATTGTGATATAAGACCGTATAAATGAACTCTTCTTCAAGAGCACTGGCAGATCCCAACTTGGAGGTCCCATCATCCAGTAAATGCCTATAATTCTTTGCCTTTCCAACACTACCAAAACACAAGTTACTGCACAAATCATTCTACTTCTTATGGGATTGAGCTGAAACCTGATGGCAACACTTAACCATATTACTCGTCAAAGCAACATCATTTTGGGTCACTGCTTACGAAGCGTGAGGTGTAGGGGGGACACTTGGCATAATTCTTCTAAGTAGGGTAAAACACAGGCAAAAGACGGTAAACTAAGTATAAGGGAGAAATGCATGCAAGAAGACCTCAGCTAGTCCAACAATAAAACGCCACTGAGGCCAACATAATCAAGCAACTCATTGGATTCTCCAGCTTCTCTGCGTGTTGCTAGTTCTATATGACCAACAAAAGACCCTCGCTAAACTCGATGCATCTGGTAACCATATGGAACTAGCCTACATAGGCAGTAGGATTTAATCAGATAACCACAAGATTCTGACAGTGCAGGTACCTTTTATGATCCTTGTTGACAATTAATTGAAAGTTCAAGAAAATCCGCAGTGTGCAGGTAACTTCCAGGACCTGCTTGCTTTGGTACTGCAGTTAGATCAGCAGAGTAAGTCATTGAACAGCTCTCAACTGTTGTAGGTTCTATAATTTTTCATAGGCATGTACAGTGATAATAAAAGACAATCTTATCACAATCAGTCAGCAAAACCCAGCATGTAGTATTCGAATGAAGCCAGTGGCCCTGCCACAAAACTGAAGCCCACTATTTCAGGAACCCAAATACAACTCGTGGCACATAATTTTATCTAAACTTCTGTTTCTCTCAAATCAATTAGTACATTGTTACAATAAGACATGAGTGCACAGGCCATGTGAAAAGGAAGCACAACGAGGCACATCCGGAACCTCACTCCATTGCCAACAACCCAACCAAACTAAACAGTTCTAATCGCTTGGAACTCCATTTATTGTAGTATTGTTCAACAATATTCAGACACAGATGGGACTAACAGACCTGATAATAACATTTAAGGAACTTAACACTTCGGCCAGGTATAAAATATCTTAAGTTCCTAGCAACAAAGGGACACACGGCACAGACTGCATAAATACAGACAACATCAGCAAGATAAAGCAACCCATTCAACACACAAGACATTAACATCATGGCTAGAAAGGGACGCGGATGCCATATTTACCTTTGCTAAATCAAGTTTTTTGTATATTTCTTCGGCAATGAAACGCTAAGAACTTCTCTCCTCCACTTCAAATCAATAGTCTCTTGCAAACACAATGTGAATATTAAAAAAAGAGAGATACCAGGCAATTCGGCAATAACCATAATCTCTAAATCTTCGAAACCATATTGGATAGAACTGTTTACAATGTACCAGAGAAAAAATATGTTACATACACTTGTTTCAGCTGAAACTGATTTTTGAAAGAAGAAAACCCATTATGCCACACCTTGCGAAGCAAGCAGTGTCACAGATGAAAATCTATAGGCTGAATGAATGACACCTGGGTGAAGAAGGCAACCTGCAACACAACTACTTGGTGGCAGTAGGCAAATAACTTCCCCAATCAAAACACCAGAGCAAAACAGGGTCAACGATCTTCTGATAATCAATGTTTTGCAACTTTCCTTCAGTAGTTATCCCTCACCTCAACCTCGTAATGTGTCAACAATCTGGAAGATAATCATGGAGACAAAAGGCCAGGATGGAAAATAATATCCTTTAGCCAAATAATCCACCAGTCCCTAAATCTGCCTGCAACAACTCTTTCCTACGTTGCTCCTCCAAAGGATCTGGGCTCTTCACCGTTCTTCGCAGACGTCTAATCATAAAAGAAGAACATGATTTAAAACTAAACCTGAGAGATTTAACTGATAAATGGATGCTTCCAGCAATTTATATCAAGGTACCTGTCCTGTGCATGTTGAGCAGGGAATGTTGGCATGAAATCTTTCGACTTAGGAAGTGGTACTTCACGAAACCACTCATGGTTAAGAGCCGCTTCAGCACTTATCCGCTGGGGCCAAAAACAATGAACGTTAGGGCTTACTAAAAAATCTCATTCATGTATCTAGACAGAATGACAAAGCTTAAAAGTTGCCTACCTTCTCGGGGTCATAGGTAAGCAGTTTGTTCAACAAATCAAACCCAGCATCAGAGAGCACAGGTGATCCAGTGAAAGATGTTGCAGGGAATTTTTTACGTAGCAGGTTATACCTGAAAGAAGTAGGTGATACTGTTAAGAATGAACAGGAAATGCAAATGTCTCACTGAAAATTTCAACCAGTGGATGCCAGATCACCAGACCATAATCACCCAGCTGGGAGCCTGGGAAAACAGTGACATAAATAAGAATGACTGTGTAATCATTTAAAATAATGAATAAACGAAAACATGATACTTACGGATGCTTAACAAAGTTGACCCTAGCTTTGGATAACTTGGAAAATCCAGGCCAGATAGTTTCGTTCGGTGTACCAAGGGTTCTGAAAATCTGCAATTCAGAAAAATGTTGAAGCTCGAAACAACTTGTTGTAAACAACTGCAAACCAAGACATCAGTAAATTTCTCATGGTTAGCTTACCTTGTCCAGTTGATCATACTCTTTCGTGCCATTAAACAAAGGTTGTTTAGATAGCATTTCAGCCATTATACAGCCCAATGACCACATGTCAATTGCTGTTGAATACTGTTGTGCTCCCAGAAGAAGCTCAGGCGCCCTATGTATGAACAAAATGGAATTAAAAAAAATTAAGCAAACAGTCTGAGCAGCATACACATGTATATTACAATCTAAGTGAAATCTAGAATTCCTAATTGAAAGGATCCAAAGTGAGCATAGCTTAATGAATTTCTGAGTGATAAACAACAGATGCAAAAAGCTTCAGCTTACCTGTACCAAAGAGTAACCACCATCTGAGTATATGGCTTTAGTGGGCTCCCATATTGACGAGCCAAACCAAAATCACATATCTTCAGCTCACCCCGATTATTTAGTAGCAGGTTTGATGTCTTTAAATCGCGATGAAGGACCCAGTTGTCATGCAAATACTTTGTACCCTCCAACAGCTGCAACATTAAGCATTTAACTTCACTCTGACTAAATGGCTGTTTCATCGACTCCATAAGACCTTTCAAATCATGCTCCATGTACTCCATAACCATATAAATGCTATCAAGATTACTACCTACAACCACCTCTTTGACGTCAACAATAGAAGGATGATGCAATGAAAGGAGGATGTTTATTTCCCTCAACGCAGTAAGAGGAAAACCTTCTCGTTCTCTCTCCATTTTTACTTTTTTCAAAGCTACAATTTCTCCAGACTTACTGTCCTTGGCTCTAAATACAACGCCATATGTACCTTCATCTATCCTATTAAGTCTCTCGAAATCATCAACACTCCTACAACCCCTGAGCATGTTAACACATCTCTGAGGCGGACCAGCTGGTTCTAGTGCTCCCTGAGAACCATCTTCATCTTCAGAATCAGTATCTGAGTGACCCATGTTCCTATCCTTGTAATAACTATCTCCATCAACCTCCATCTCTTCATCCCTCTCAGAATCATTGTTGGGATATTCATCTCCACTCGACGACCTCAGATGAGATCCCGGGTCTTCAGAAGCAGACAACCTGCCCTTGCCTCCTTCAGACCCTTCTCTCTTGACGCTTCCAGGCTCGGGGGACACAGACTTACTTTGCAATCTAGAATCAGATGAGTCTAAAGGATGCAGCTTCTTCCTCCTTTTAATCATAGTGTCATCTTCAACAATTTCACCTTCGTCAACAGGAGAACTGTTAGCAGCTGCCCATCTTGAGGAAGATATATGGCGAGTTGGCACATAATCTTCATCTTCTAATGCATCTGATTGAAGACCTTTTTCCCATTGACGTTCATCTGACATTGGAGGTAGCAGTTCCACATGCGACTCTGACTCGCCTGAAAATTTAGAAATTGGATCCTTGATGGGAGATGAAGATGTTGACTTCGGATTGTCAGCACCTCTAACGGGAGATGTTTCAACAGTTACCTCTTCAGTAACATCAGGTAACTCGTTTTGCAGCTTAGGCATAGGGGGTGGAGGAAGAGAGGCTAACACCTGATTACGACCTCCAATTTGCAATGGATTACTCACGGCCTTTTCATCTCTGTCCCACACAATCGGAGAGAACTTCCGCTTCTTCTCAACAGGAGCCTTTATCCTGCCATTCTCTCCCCCCTTCGACAAGTTATCACCTTCTTTACTGACCAGTGATTCCGACTCAATTGCACCATCAGACCCACTATCACTAGACAACTCACCAGGCTCTTTATCCACAACCACACCCACAGAACCACAACGTCTCGGGCCGGCCGCACCGCCACTGCCACCACCACCACTACTACTACCTGAATTGCTCCTACTAGAGGAGCACCTATTACCTCCATTCATGGCCTCCCTCTGCCCCATTCTACCTCCACTAACCCTATCCCTCAAGTCACGAACTCGAATGCGGTCACGATCATACTCTTGCGTACCATTCCCTAACCTATCATACCTCTCCTTAGAATACTCAGATTCCTTCCTCGACAACTCAAATTCTGATTCCCGCTCCCGGAACTCATTATCGCAATAGCCTCCATGTCTCCTTCCCGCCATGGATATATTAAGCAACAATCCAATCGAATCCCACTACCACCACCGAGAAACTCCCCAATCCCGGTAACGAAACCCTACGCCCGCCGGATTCCGGTCTACTCCGACGCAAATACGTACGACGAGCAGAAATCTCGAAACCCTAGGGCGAAAAGCAACTTCGGGATCCAATGGTAACGAAGAATAAAAGCGGGAACAAAGAATCGAATTCAACTCTTTCAACCTAGCAGAGAGCCGGAAGCTTCCATCGACGAATCGAGGACATGAATTGGAAAGCAAAAACCCTAGGGGGATTGAATCGAGACCGCGGGCGGAGTGGGGATAAAGGCCAGCGGGAACAGATGAGGAAATTGAAGATGGCGAATCTCGAATGAGATCGAAAGAGATTGATTGATTGACCGATTGGAGAAGAGAAGCTGCGGGATTGGGAATTTTAAGGCGCGTAACGATTCGAGCGAGAGACCCAAGAGGAAAGGCGGCTAGTCGCGCTGGTTCGAGCCGCAGAAGTTAATCTGCTAACTGCTCAAAGTGTTAGCAGATAGTAACAGAGCAGGATTTTGGGCCACGTAGGCCCATGTTTCATCCAACGGAGGGGAGAGGTGGCTTGGTGGTGGCTCACTTAAGTGAGCTGTAGGTGGGCCAACGTGTAGAAGCCAGTCCAGCATGTTGCGGTGGCGGCGGATTCAAGCAAGTGGCGTGGTGGGCTGGCGGGCCCGGCTTGAGTTTGGGCGGGAGAATGGATATGAGTGGAAAGAGAATGAAAATTGATGGGCCCCCTTGATATTTATGTATGTTTGTTTATGTGGATATTTATTTGTTTTCAGTCGATATTATTTTCTGTTGTGTTGATATTACTTTGCATCATTATTGAAATGAACTAGTGTTCTTCCTTCGCAAACCAATATCCATCATTAAACTAATATTTACCAAACCCCAAAATAACCCAACCACCCGAAACTGATTACACCAATTTAGAGTTTAAGTTTTAGGGTTTATGGTTCGGGTTTTCAATTTGTGAAGGATTGAAATATTGTTTCTTACATTAAACTAAACACACTAGGAAATTAAACACACTAGGAAGTCCTAAAACGTAAGGCTTGCAACCTTAGTTAGGGCTGCCCGCCGAGGGCCCATGGGCCGAAGGCCCATTAAATAATAATAGTTTTATGGTTTAGGGTTTGTGTTACGGTTTAATGTTAAGGGTTTAGGGTCTAGCTTAGGTTTGAATTGATATTTAGTTCATGTTTTCGAAAATTTTCTTGGACTTTTGGATATTCTAATAGGGCTTTTTTGGTAAAGTGATTAGGGTGTTAGTGTTAGGGTTTATGATTTATTATTTTTTTTAGGGTTAAAGGTTTAATTATTAATCTTGTGGTCGTTTGCAATGAATGGATATTAGTTTACGTGATTAAGATATTAGCTTTTGGTTGAATTGAGATTAGTTCGTGCTTTTAGATATTTGTCTGGGAAGTTTGGATATTCTAATGGGCACTTTTAGTAACTATTTCGATGTGATCATTTGTTTATTTAAGCATCTAGCCCTTTTGGTAACTATCGGTTTAGTCTACAACTATCAATTATTAGTCAGTATGTGGTGGATATTATTATGTCATAGTGATAATATCCATTTTGGGATCACATGATATTCTTCTGAGACAGAAGGATATTAGACTGGGTGGTGTGGGTCTGGGTAGTGTGGATATTCTTTTTAGTTTTAGGGTTTAGGGTTCATTAGTTCATGTTTTCGGATATTTTTTTGGGACGTTTGGATATTCTAATGGGTCACTTTTGGTAATTATTCCGATGTGATCCTTTGTTTATATAAGCATCTAGCACTTTTGTAACTATTCGGATTAGTGCACAACAATAAGATATTAGTCTGTGTGTGATGGATATTAGTCTGTTATATATGGATAATCTTAATTTTGGGATCACATGATATTTTTCTAAGACGGTGGGATATTAGACTGGGTGGTATGGATATTCTTCTGGGTAGTGTGGATATTCATTTTAGTTTTAGGGTTCATGGTTCATTAGTTCATATTTTCAGATATTTTTCTGGGAAGTTTGGATATTCTAATGAGACACTTTTGGTAACTGTCCATTAAATAACAATAGTTTTTATGGTTTAGGGTTTGTGTTGGGAAGAGGGTTAAGAGTTTAGGGTCTAACTTTGGTTTGAAGTGATATTAGTTCATGTTTTTTGAAATTTTCTTGGACGTTTGTATATTCTAATGGGGCACTTTTGGTAACTATTAAGATGTTGTCCAACGTTTATTTAAGCATCTAGCACTTTTGGTAACTATTTGAATTAGTGTACAACTATGAGATATTAGTCAGTGTGGCGGATATTAGTTAGTACAAATAGAAGATATTAGTTGGTGTGTTGTGGATACTTGTCTTTGCTAGTTGTAATACTTTTTACTAACCACAATATATTTATTTAAAATATTTTGATATTTGTCCGGGTTGTGTGGATATTTATTTGAACCTGAGGAAATATTCCCTTAGTTCATGTGTTTGGATATTTGTGTGGAACCTTTGAATATTCTCGGCTTGGGCAAACAATAATAGTTTTATTTTTTAGTGTTTAATGATTAGGGTTTTAGAGTTTAGAGTTTATGGTTTAGGGTATATGGTACAAATGTAAGATATTAGTTAGTGTGTTGTGAATACTTGTTGTTCCTAGTTGTAATCCTTTTTACTAACCACATGATTTTTATTTAAAATATTGTGATATTTGTCCAGGTTGTGTGAATATTTATTTGAACTTCAGAAAATATTCCTTTAGTTCATGTGTTTGGATATTTGTGTGAATATTAGATATTAGTTTTGCAATGAATGTGTATTAGAAGGGTGTCTATGTGGACGTGTATGACAAGGTTTAGAGTTCGAGTTTTGGTTTAGTGTTTAGGGTTCGGGTTTATGGTTTCGGGTCAGAATTTCAAGTTTGGAGTTTTGGTTTAGTGTTTAGGGTGGTTCGATATTTGTCTCCAGTGATAGGATATTATTATGGATAGTTTGTGATGTGTGGATATTTGTCTGAGTAGTCGGATATTAGTTTGCGGGGGTAAGATATTAGTCAGTGTGTGGTGGATATTTGTCTATTATGGTGAGGATAATAATTATGGTATGACTGGATAATAGTCTGAGACGAAGGGATACTAATCTGGGTGGTGTAGATATCTGTGATGGTGAGCGGATATTAGTCTGGGACAGTCGGATATTAGTCTGGGTGGTTTGAATTTTTGTTCTGTATGGATGTTTATCTACATTGGTTTTTTTCTTTTTATGAATGGTAGGACTTTCATTTCATCAAAACGGCAAACAGACCTTGCTGGCAACAGCTCTGGCCAGCTGAGAAGTGTACTTTTAACCAGAAATTACAGCAACCAAAAACATACTATCAGCTATAGACAAAACTAGAAAAAACTATCAAGGATTCCATGGTCCAAGAGCAGTCGCAGATCACCCTTTATCAGACTAGCAAGTTCCTCCAAATTGAACACCTTTCCTCCAAACTTTACCCTGCATCTCTCCCTCCAAATACCTGCAACCAAACTCTGCCAAATCACTTTACCCACCTGAGCCATTTCATTCTTCTGTGTAAGGTTCCGGGAAGCCCACTGGAGTTCAGCTAACCACTGATCACCAGGAGAATGATTAGAGTACTTTGCAAACAGCTTGATGAATAGCTGTTTATAGACAAAACATTCTGCAAATACATGTGATCTAGTTTCCAGGGCAGAATTGCAGAAAGCACATCAAAAGTTACCTGCAATCCCCCACCCTTGAGACTTATCACCTGTCACAATGTAATCATTAACAATAAGCCAAACTAAGAATTGATTCCTGGGTATACTTTTTCCTTTCCAAACCAGAGAGTACCAGGGGACATTGTTAGCCTTAGGCCTCAGCTCCTCCCATACTTTCTTTATTTTGAATTTCACCATTGGTTCACCTTTCCAGTACGCTCCATCATTCCCAGTCCCCAAATAATTCCTCATCCTGTCTCTGTTCTTCAGCAATTTCAACCACAACCAGGAACCAGCCTTCGAGGTGACAGTCCAAAAATCACAGCTCTTAATTCTGTACTCCCAGATCCAGGCCACCCATAAAGACCCCTGTTTCAGCAATATAGCCCAGACATGCCTTGTAACACAAGCCAAATTCCAAGATACCATATCTCTAAACCCCAGACCCCCCTCCTTCTTAGGATATGTGATCCTTGGCCAAGCCACCACAGCCCTTTTCCTAGATCCATCTCCCACACCCCACAAGAAATCACTGCATAGTTTCTCTACTGTTCTAATAACTGACTTAGGGAGTATGAAAATGGACATCCAAAATTGTGTAAGGCTATATAATACTGACATGACTAGCTGAAACTTCCCTGCATAAGAAAGTGTTTTTGCTTTCCAGCTAGCTATTCTCCTTGTCACCCTATCAATCAGTGGAGTGCAAGCTTTAATGGTAAGTTTCCCTGCCAAAAGAGGAAGACCCAAATACCTAACTGGTAACACACCTAGCTTGTATCCTGAGTGCCTTGACATAGCCTCCTGCCATTCCACACTTATACCTCCACAATATAGCTCACATTTTGATGGATTGGATTTTAGACCTGACATTCTGCTGAACTCATCCAGAACTTTCTTGATATAGTGGATCCCATAATTTGAACCATCAGAAAATAGCAAGAGATCGTCAGCAAACATAAGATGGGTTAATCCCAATCTCTTACACATGGGATGAAATGGCATCTCACTTCTCCTGGCTGCTTCACTCAATAGGCAGGATAAAACCTCCATAGCAACAGCAAAAAGATATGGGGAGAGGGGGTCCCCCTGCCTCAGCCCCTTCTTAGCAAAAAAATACCCCACTGAACCTCCATTAAATCCTATACTCAGCTTGGGTGTAGTAACACACATTTTTAACCATTGTAAAAATCTCTCAGGTATCCCCATTGCTTGCAAAGTTTTAAAAAGAAAACCCCAATCCACCGAGTCAAAGGCCTTCATCAGGTCAATCTTCACTAAGGATCTGGGAGAGATGTTCTTCCTACCATATTTCTGAACAAGCTCATGTGCAAGTAATATATTTTCTCCTATCACTCTACCTTTTACAAATGCAGTCTGTGACTCACTAATTAAACATGGCATAACAGAACTAAGCCTCACAGCAAGTATTTTGGCCATACACTTATAGAGAATGTTGCAACAAGAGATTGGTCTAAAGAATTTCATCTCTTCTGGTGATTGAATTTTAGGTATTAAAGCTAACAGTGTTGCATTAACACAGATTGGAATCTCAGTTACTCTAAAACAGTGAAGGATGGCAGATGTTACCTCTTCTCCAATGACATGCCAAGTTGCTTTGAAGAAACAGGCAGGGAAGCCATCAGGCCCAGGAGCCTTCTCCCCATCAAAGCCAAACATAGTTGTTTTGACCTCTTCAGCTGTAACAGGAGAACACAACTCTACACCTTGATCAGGCAGTAATTGTTTGAGAAGAACACTTTTAATTTGATCTACCTCTGGGGGAGTAACTTCTGGATCACACTTTCCCAACAATTCCTTGTAGAATCTCTCTGCTATTCCAGCCATACCATCAGTATCTGTAACCCTTTGACCATTTTCATCAATTAAGGACCTAATCATATTCCTTTTTTGGCGACTCTTAACTGAGTTGTGGAAGTAAGGGGTGTTTGAGTCTCCCTCTTTAAGCCAAATTTCCCTTGATTTCTGGCGGAAAAAAGATTCCTCAGCCTCTCTTAAAACTCTCGCCTCTTTAGAAACTCTTATCTCCTCTTCAAAAGCACCAGTTGTGGGGTGATTTAAGGCTTCAGCCTGTGCAGTCACCAGCTCAGCTTCCTTCATTCTTACCCTTTCACTGATATCTGAAAAATCATCCCTATTCAACTTCTTGAGCTTTCCCTTGAGTAATTTCAGCTTTCTACACAGCCGAATTAAAGGGGAACCTTCTACCTGTGTCATCCACGCTTCCTTTACTAAGTCCATAAACCGAGGATGTTTGATCCAAAACTTAAAAAATTTAAACAACTTTGGCATAGATTTCAAAGCACTATCAGAGTTTAGTAAAATCGTACAGTGATCCGACACAGAAGGTTCCAACAAATCCACAGTACTAGAAGGAAGACCCTCCAACCACAGAGTATTCACAAAGACTCGATCCAATCTTCTTGCTATTGGGTTCCCCGTTTGCTTGTTTATCCAGGTGAACCAGGGCCCTGATGACTTGTGTTCCTCTAACTCACAATCATGTTGCCATTTTTTGAAATCGATCATACTACTAGAGACTTGAGGCATGTTTGAAGTCTCATTAATATCTCATATGGCATTAAAGTCTCCTAATACAGCCCAAGGAGCAATTGCACTTGCAATCGAGCCAACTCACTATAAAGAACCCTCCTATCCACTTCATCATTAGATGCATAGACAAAGGTAAGGAAAAAAGATGTACCTGAGGCTACCAGTACATGGATAAACTGATCAGACTGGTGAAGAACTGTAAGTTTGATATCCGATTTCCAGAACAACCATAACTTGCCAAGACCACTTGAATTGTTTGCAACTCTGGACTCCCAACCAGGAAACCTCACATTAATCAACTGTACTGCTTTATTTTCTCTAACTCTAGGTTCTAGTAAGACCAGTATATCTATACTATGTATATTTAGTAGCTTCCTAACAGCTTTATTCTTATCCGGGTCATTGAACCCCGGGATATTCCAAGTAAGTACTTTCATTTCTTCTTACCAGCCCTTCCCCCTTTACGAGGGCCAACCGGGTCCACTCTTGGTGTAATAGGCTTCTTTTTAGAACTTCCCACAGTAATCCACGGGTTAGTCTCCTTTCCTGCTACAGCCACCTGAGGAGATGCTCTCCCATCATTTGGTGAAACAGCCCCCACAGACGAATGAATTGGCTGAGCAGAACTCCCAGACAGAGCTGGTGATCCTGAAACAACCTCAACAAAACTGACAGCAGTACCCCCAGTGATAATAGGAGTAGGACCAACACACCCATTTAGAACCTGAGATTCCACCTCCTTCCCTTTATCCTTAGTAGATACTACCTCACTAGTAACCCCCTCTTGCAAACTTCCCACAACCTGAGCAACAGAACTACTCCCTTCAGCACTCTGCACATTGTCCACCTTCTTCATCTCAACAGTTGTGTCCTGAACCTCACCCTGTTGAACAGTCCCTTTAACCACCCATATCTTATTGCTATCAGCTAAGCTCTTGCAGTCATGCCCATATACTTGGCATTGAGGACACACCCTAGGCAGGTTCAGGTATTCAACAGTCACCTCAAAACCTGGATCATCATCCGGATAGAGACGCACCTTCTCCGGAAAACCACAGTCTGCCGATAGATCAACACACACCTTCGCGAACCCCAGCTGCCCTCCAACCCTAGTTGTCTTGTCCATCCAGAGAGGAGGACCAACCGTACTCGCAATCCACTCCAGTCCTTCAGTGGAATGATATTCCAGCGGAATTCCCCAGATAGACACCCAGATAGGAAGAGTTTCAACCAAGGGATTTACTGGTTGAATACCTGGAGACCATTTCCTTAGATATAGCTGATTCCCTTGAAAGTGCCATGGCCCTGTACGAAACACCCATCTGCTTGTGGAGGAAGAAGGAAATTGGAACACAAACATCCGAGCACCAAAACGAGAGACTCGCACAGCGCCATCCCTTCCCCAAATTGCAGTAGCCCAGGATTGAAGCTGAGCAACCTTCGGCTGAGCTCCCACAAATTGGCCGATGTGGCAATCGCGCCAACGTTCCTCACCCTTCTTCTTCACTTCGCGCGGAATTCGGAAACCGTCATTGACCCGCTCAGGAGATCGGAACTGCATCCTATTCTCCTTCGGGACATCAAAAAGCTGAGCCCAAGTACTGACCCCTGGACCCTTGCCCGTCGTCGGAGCAGATTCCGACGACGAGGCCGCCATTCCGATTTCGGGACGAAAACCTAGAGAGAAGAGAGAGAGGAGTCAAATTCCTTTTTTTTTTATATTGTGTCGTTGTAAATTAATTAATTTTTTTTTTAATTTTTTTTTTACTACATTGGTTTTCAAGTATGAAGAAATAGTGTGTATATATATATATTCTTTTTTGATTAAAATTTGAAAGTAAGGTCTTTTTCAACCTATGATAATTGCTAATTAAGAGACTATGGCTGGATATGTAGTCACATATTAGTCTGTGATAGTGAGAATATTAATTTCGGGATGATTAGTTATTAGTATGAGACGGTGAGATATTAGTCTGGGTAGTATGGATATTTGTAATGGAGAACGGATATTAGTGCGACAGTCGGATATTAGTTTGAGTGGTTTGGATATTTATTTTGTGGAGATGTGTTTTCGACGAGCAAATAATATTCCAGAATAAAAAACTCGAATTCTTAATAAAAAGAGTCGTTTGATAGACAAATCGCGATAAAACTAGTATTTAATGTCATTACAACTTGGCAATCCAAGAATTTCAAATCCGAAAAAGCACAACCACATAAGAAATGAGAAAGCAATAGTTCAACTGTTGTCTTGCTGACGCTTGATAATTTTTTTGAGCGCGTCGTCCCGAGCCCTCCACATTTGGATCATGCTCTCAACCATTGACTCCATTGCCGCAAGCTACATATGTTGTAAAATATTTAGTTTACTATATGCAACCATGTCACTTAAGAAGCAAAGACAACATCTATGTACCTGATTTAGGTCAAGGTTGTCAAAATCTTTGTTTTCCCAGCATGATGCGTCTGGATTGAGCCAGTGATGTGTCTCCGTCTCCCCTTCTCTTGGAGGAGCTGGCATCGAACACCTTTTGGAATTTTTCTTCATCTTGGACAATTCCTGAAATTAGCTAATATCATTGAACTAATATCCATACAGGGCATAAAATTATCCAGACCTAGCATACAAATATCTATGCATCACATAACCAATATCCGGACAATCAACCACCAAAAAATATCCACATTAAACTAAATGGTATCCCATGCTAGCTAAACAATTTTCCAGGTAAAAATATATCAAATTAACGAGCAAAATCCAGAAATCCCAAACAATATCGACATCAAAAAACGAATCCCCCAAATCGAAAGAAATCGAAAGAAATCCCAGCCACAAAAAAATCCCAGATCCCCCAAATCGAAAGAAATCCAAATCCCCCAAATCAAAAGAATCCCAGATCCCCCAAATCGAATCTCAAATCCCCCGACAAGAATCCCAGATCCCTAACAATGAATCTCAGATCCAAAAAACGAAGCAAAAAAAAAACTCAGATCCAGTCGAATCTATGAAACCCTAAATCAAATATATGTAATCCAACCACATAAAATCCCAAATCCCCCAAATCGAAAGAAATCCAAATCCCCCAAATCAAAAGAATCCCAGATCCCCCAAATCGAATCTCAAATCCCCCGACAAGAATCCCAGATCCCAAACAATGAATCTCAGATCCAAAAAACGAAGCAAAAAAAAAAAAAAAAACTCAGATCCAGTCGAATCTATGAAACTCTAAATCAAATATATGTAATCCAGCCACAGAAAATCCCAGATCCCCCAAATCGAAAGAAATCCAAATCCCCCAAGTCGAATCTCATGAACCCTAAATTTTGAAATAGATAAACGAAACCCAGATCTCCACAAACAAAATGAACAATAAAGAGAGGAGAAGTCTTCTACCTCAACGTCTTCTTCTACCTCTGACTATCGGCGACGACGGCGGCGGCCTTCTTCGTCGGCGAAGTCGGCGACGTCTTCTTCTTTCTTCTTCGTTGGCGGCGTCTTCTTCCTCGTCGGTCGGGATAGCTTCAACGTCGTCGGCGGCGGGAGATCCAACAAGCCGTCGTCGCCGTCGCAGCCCTCATCGCCGTCGCAGACCTCGTCGTCGTCGCAGACCTCGTCGCTGTTGGTGGTGGTTTTCGGGAGAAGAAGAAAAAGAGAGAGAGAGAGAGAGAGAGGGTTCGAAAGTTGGAGAGAGAGGGGAGAATGGCTGACGCGGGTTGAGGTTGAGTTTTGGGTTTGAAATTTTGGGTTTTTGTTTTTTTTGTTTTTTTCCTGGCCCCACTTTTCCCAAAAGTGGCTCGGCTTGGCCACAAAAATCTCCCCCCTCACAGAACAGCGCCGGCGATCCCTCACCCTCCGATGGTGGCTCGGCGACGTGGCCCATCATCCCACCCTGTTAGTATCTGCTAACAACTTAACCCATTAGCAGAATAACGCTATTGGGTTCGAGCGAGAGACCAGCCAGCAGGAAAGGGATTATTTGTGACGCGAGTGTTTTATTTTATTAATCCTTTTTTTCTTTTTGTTTGGAAAAATGATACAAGATTGGGCATTTGGTTGGTTTGGTTCAAACAGAATTGAAAAGATGATTACCGGTACTCTAGCTCCAGTCAAAGGTTAAACTGATTTCGAATCAAATTATATTTCGATTCGGTCTGATCAAATCGAAATATAACTCGATTCGGAGCGGAAAAACAGACGAATCCGAGATGTCTTCCTTCTCATTCCTGATTTGTTACCCCCTTCGGCTCTCTCTGATTCTCTCTCCCCATTCTCTTCTTCCTACTCCCATATCACCCTCTTCATCCATATCTCTCTGCTGGAACCAGCCATCGATCCGCCCTTTCCAAGCACTTCGCCGCCAAGAGCACTTCGTCGTCGAGATCGTAGTGAGCTCCCTCTGCCGCCGAACTCGCCTTCTCCCCAGACCTGGAGCACTAAGTCCGCCGCTCGCCCATTTTGAGGAAGAGGATGCGGTGGCAAAAAGAAGACAGAGCCTAGGGGAGAGCATGCAGGGGCTCCGCCACCAATATTTATGTCGTCTTTGTTAAAGATCCCGTCGTGGCACCGCCTCCGAGATGCCACACAAGAGTTTATTTTCCGAGACGAAGAAGGAGCTAGGTACTGGTGGGTACATCATTTGAAGTTCTGGGTGATCGAGAGAGAGTGAGAGATGGTCGGTGGTTGTGAGTGGAGACAAAGGGAGAGATGGAATTAGGATTATGTTTTGTTATTGTTTTGTCTTTCTTTCTTTGGACTTTGGAGGCGGCGACTTCAATTTGAGTCTCAGTTGCTGGACTTGGCCCTCAGCTAGGCTTCTTTAATTTGTTGGGCCTGGGTGGAATTTGATTAGGATGTGGTAGTTGGGTCTACAATTTCGGTTTATTGTTTCGAAACTTGGAATTCGGGTTCGGTTGGCACACCATGTATTCCGAATTAAGAGCATTTCATTTCCGATTTTTGATTCGAATAGTGAGAAATTCAATTTCGGTCCGGTTCGTTTCGGAGAGTTAAAACTGAACCGAATGCCCACCCCTAAGTGGGATGGACATGGATGTCGTGATTTTTAATTATTTGGGAATTTTATTAATTATTATTTTTTGTCATAGTTAGAGCGTTGTAGATAGGGTATTACAATGCGATGGAAATTAAAGTGCAGTAGTCAACCAACTGGGTTGCTACCGATGCAAGGGTCGTTTGTGCCACGCGATGGGCAGCCCAGTTAGTACTACAAGGAACAAACACAAACGAAACAAATGCAAAAAAGGTCTTGAGCAATCCCACTTCTTCAAGCACCGCACCACCACGATCATGATAGACAACATTCTCCATAGCTCATCGTATGACCAATTGGGAATCACCACAAAACAAACAAAAGCATGACCATGATTTCGGCACCATTACATCTCTTAAAGCTAGTAATTCAAGTAAGAATGAATCAGAAATGTCCTCATAGAACTTACCGAACACGCAAACCAAGGATTGGTCACCGGTGAAGCTAACAAAACCAACGATACCTCTCACTCCTCGTCGTGTTGCGCCATTAAATCGGATGAGAAGACCCCCGAAGGACAAGAAGGACCTGACGTCGAGTAGGGATGGCAACAAACCCTGAACCCACGGGTACCCACCCGATCCAACCTGGTCAACGCGTGTAAAATTCGGTTGACGGGTTTTGGGCTGGGTTTTGGTTTAAACTCATTCACTATTCACCGAGTTGGGTTTGGGTTTAGGTAAACCCGACCCATGGGCACCCTCCCACACCCATATAGTTAATTTCTCGGTATATTTAATATTCTAAACAACTATCTTATTTATGTTTGTGGAGACATGTCTAATTTTTTCTTTAATTAATCATGTTATTGATAATTTGTGATTTGCTTCAATTTTCTTGAGTTTTCTAGATTGGTGTTGAACAATTTGTATAGTTAATTTGTGATTTGCTTAAATTTTCTAGAATGGTGTTTTGTATATGGATAATTTGTATTGCAAGATTGATATTTGACTTTAATTTTGATAGGAACTTGTTATTGTAAATTTTTTACGACAAAAACCCGTGGGTACCCATGAACCCATGGATACCCAGCGGGTTGGGTTGGGTTTGAGTTTTTCAAACCTAGTGGGTTTTACCCCGGTTTTTTTTCATGGATAAACCCATGGGTTTGGATTTGGCAAAACCCGACCCAACCCAACCCATTGCCATCCCTAACGTTGAGTGCCTAGGTTGTCGCACAGGTGTCGGCAGGATCTGGGGCGAAGCTGTAGCCTCCCGCCATTCATCCACCTATCTTGTGAGTTTTCGGAAGAGTGGTCCAGGAAAATACTGCACTTTATCATAGGTTCCAACATCTAGCTTTCCATATTCTCCATGTAATGAAGACGATATCTGCCATTTCCACTTTAGAGAGTTGCATAGCAAAGAACAGGTTATGCCAAGCAATATCAGTGGGTACATTGGCCATAGCTATTCAGATATTCTCTTTCCCAGCACGTAGCCACACTCCACGAGCAATCCTGCAATTAAAGAAGCTGTGAGAAATGGTTTAGGAAGCATATGAACACACTGGGCATATATATGAATCGTGCGTAACGACTATTCCTTCTTCGATGGCTGCATGTAGCCTGCGTCCAACAAGTCCTTGAGCTGCCTCCGCAACTCTTCTAACTGTGGTGGCGCCATGCGATATGGTGCTCGCGAAGGGGGCTTTGCTCTGGCTCCAACTCAATCTTGTGGTCCACCTCTCTTCTTGGTGGCAGCTTCTTCGGCAACTCCGATGGCATCACATCATCGAATTCTTCAAGCACACCTTCGATGATGGGAGTTGTGGTTCCCGTCGAGCCACCTTCTTCCTCCATCTTCAAGGACACAAAAATGTTGGCTCATTCTTCTTGAACCCCTTCAATACCTACATAGCGGACAAAGCACTATGGGGGCTATCTTCTCTTAAGAGATGGCCCGCATGGAAGTTTCCTCCCTTCTCCAAGCACATCGTGTTGGAGTTGGGCTTCAAGAGCACTCCCTCCTTGTCGAGGATTTTGGTTCGTACTTATCCCCTTTGCTTGGCCACCATGTTGTCGTTGAGTGCGAGTGCCCTCCTTGAAATGCTGATGCGGTTCTCCACCCTTGTTGGGCTTTGAACTCTTCTCTTTGTTGCTGCTCTCTTGCCATTTGTACTTGACAAAAGATTTCGCCGTGACCATGACAGTTGCAAGGTCTTGCACTACTCAACGTTGCATCTAAATAGTTTTTTTTATCTCTACTCTATAGCCCCGTATTGGCCCATGGTTGCAGCCCATAAAAAAAGTCGTGCATGGCCTCCTTGTCCGTGGTGTCCGGGAACTTTAGAAGCAGCTCCGAGAATTCCTTCACATATTCTCGAACTCCACCCCTCTAGGTGAGTCTTCTCAACCTTGAACGGGTTTCAAACTCCACATTCTCCGGATAGAACTGCCTCTTGATTTCTCTCTTGAAATCATCCCACGTTACCATCACACACGTACCCTTCTCGATGTCTGCTTCATGTCGCCTCCATCAAACTATAGCAATATCGACCAAGTAAAGTGGAGCGGTACGAAGTTTTACCTCGTCCTCTTGGATGCCGGATTCCTTGAAGTATTGTTCAAGACTCCAAAGGAAGTTCTCTAACTCCCTCGCGTTCCTTGAACCTCCAAAGTTCTTCGGTCTTGGAACTTCAGCACGTGGGACGAATTGCACTGGGGCTGGTCCGCTAGCCATGGTTCTCTTCACGAGAGTGACCTCACTCTTGAGGTCTGCAATCTCCTCCTTCACGTCGACTAGCTCAGCCTGGACATGCTCTTTCACAACTTCAAACGCGTTGTTAATGGAGTCGGAGATGGTGTTGTTGATGAGAGCCACGAGCTCTTCTCGCATCCCTTCATGGTTGATCTCCAAAATCGTCAACCAAGCAGTCACTCCTTGGACTTGGGCGAAGTTAGCTCCCAAATCCTCGATGGCAGTGATATCTTCCCCCACCTTCACTTCCACTCTAGAGACACGCCTCTCTATAGACGCCATAGGATCACGAGTGCTTGACTTGTCAGCCTTTGACTTGGGATTCGTCGTGGCGTCTCGTCCACGATTCTTCTCGACATCAGTAACGCCACTATCCGATCCCGACATTTTTTGGTGAGGCTCTTCCCTTTCGTTTGACTATTGCTTTTTCTTTGCTAGCACCAAGCCGAACAGAGCTTTGATACCACCTGTCACGGCCTTACTCTCAATCGTACGACCTTAGCTCTCAAATCCGTTAGAGAACTAAACAACCTTCTCTTAAACTCACAAGAAAGCAAAGAAAGCAAGAAGAAAGAAGTGGGATAACTCTCTAGTGTGTATTTCTCTAAAAAAATGTGGAATGAGTTACAAGTGAGGGAGATGGCTCCTTATATATGCCTCTCCTCATACAAGGCATTAATGCCCCTCATAATGTCTCTCTTCATTACTACACTCTATTAAGTCCCCCCATAATGCATTCCACTAATGTCACCCATTATGTGACTCATAAATGCACCATTAAGCTCTCATTTAGGTGGATAATACTAGAAGCATCTCTAGATCACACCATTTATGTGAACTCTAACATTTAGAGGTTGCCGTCATTGTGAAGAGATGTTAGGAATTGAGAGAATAAGTATGCACATTTTTCGCATCAAATTGTCCCGACACCACTGGTCGAGAGTGAGCGATTCATTTCCTTGTTTTTTACACTTTTTACACCGGTGAGGACCTAGATGGCTCGGTCTTGATTCTGATGTCTTGAGTTTTATGCATGAGTTGACTGTCTTGAGTAAGTGGTTGAGTCAAGTCTATGTTGGTTGGTGAACAGAAGGGAAACTCCTCCTTAGCTCGATTTTGCTGCACTCGAATGTCTTCTGTGGTGGTTGTCCAGGTTGCTATTGAGGTTGTTCATGTGTTGATGTTTGAAAGCCAGTATGATTCTCGTGTTTCGTGCCTATATGATATGTCCCCAAGGGTTTCATGGTTAAAATGTTTTGAGCTTACCTTGTATCTGGCTTGGTTTGCTTGGGGACAAGCAAACGGTTAAGTGTGGGGGAATTTGATAACATCGTATTTGCACATGTTTTCACCTTTGTTTCCTGACCATTTTAGCCCGAATTTGTTGTTCCTTGGCCTATTTTACGCTAGGTTGTGTTGTTTTGGCGTATTTCAGGTCCTAGCGAGTAAAGAGGTGCATAGGCGCAAGTTTCGGGTCATTTGGAGGTCGGATTGCGCTTTAAAGGGGAAATTACGGGCAGCCCCTGCACAATTACGATCGTAATTGTCCCGGCATGCCAGTAATTTCAATGCCGAGCCTAATTTCCAGAATTCCTGTCGCAGAGTCAATTACGGGCAAGAGTCACTTGAATTACGGTCGTAATTATGTAATTACTGGCGGTAATTGTCAAATTAAGACCGTGAATCCTGTCTTCCGAGTCAAGTGAAACGCGCGTTTTGGGTAATTACGGGCAGACCACTATTACGGTCGTAATTCAGCCCGTAATTCGCACAGAATCGGGTTTTTGTGGCAGATTCGAGCCAAAGGAGGGGGGATCGACTTTTGAGAGCAAAAACAGAGCCCTAGAGAGAGAAAGTGTGAAGAACTCATCCTAGAAGCGATCTTGGAGCTGGGTTTCATCAAATCGAGCTTGGAGATCATCATAGGAGTGGAAATTATCATCCCAAAGCAGATTCTTCCCATTGTTAAGAGTATGACTGCTTTGTATTCTGTTTTCTTCTCTCTCTCTATGGAGTAGAACCCTTCTCTCACTTGGGTATGAAGAACCCTAGTTCCATGTGTTAGGCATTTGATTGTAATGACTTGGGATGATTATACTGTTTGGTTTTAATCGAATGATGCATGATTCATTGAATTGATTGAAGTCTGATCAGCTTTTCTTGATTTCTGCTGCAACCTGAGATAGATAGAATCTGATTATGTTGTTAGAGCTTCTTCATTCGGTAGTAGGAGATTGGCTATACGAGAGTTAGTCAGTCTACTGCTTTGTACTGGAATCCAATTCCAGTAGTGGAGTTCTGTGCTTATTGCTTCAGCTTTCTATCCCGGTGAAGACTAGTCGTCTGCCGGGTAGTTAGACTGAGAGGGCTTGGTCAGCTTAAGAGATTCCAAGCTACTGTCGGATCTTCCGCAGTCTAATCAATAGTAAATCAACCCAGGGTAATTACAATTGAGACTTAACTAAGGAGCTAGGGGAACTCATTCCCGAGTGACTCTTCCTTTGCCTGAGAAAACCGAATCAATTCCTGCTTTCTTTCTGCTTTCAGTTAAGACCAAATTCAATCGACTAGTTTGCTAGATAATAGATAATCACGAAGTAGGCAGTAGATCTAGACCCCGGGTTGATATTTAGGACTTGCCACTTTACTGCAGTCCCATTCTGCGATTACACTTGGTCGCAGTTTGGTGTTGTGTTTTGGCGTGTCATGCAGCCGCCATGTTGTCACCTTGTTGGCGCCATGTCATTTGCCACATGTGACAGAACCCTTTGGTGACTAGATGGTGTCTAAGAGACGTGACAAACGAACTAATTGCTTCACTTTACCTGCTAAGAACTAAAATGTGACAAAAGAGCACAACATAGCGTAAAATAAGTCTAAGAATGGCAATCACCGTCCACCGAGCTAAACGACTAAAAAATGAGAAGAAAAACATGTGTAATTAAGGCTTTATCACCTACTGATGTTGGGTCTTCACGCAGTGTTTTTTATCTCCTCTATCACATCTTCTTGGATTGCACTCGTCTGCAAGAATTCTTTGACAAAACATGAGTTTCGGCCATCTTGGCCATTCCGTTACCTTGCACACATGGTTGTGATCGTTTGTTATGGCATTATCATTCCACGATGTTATTTCGGTAAAGTCAGTCTATCGTCTGGTAGTTTCTAACAATCCAAGTTTGCCTCGCCGTTCTCGGGCACCGTTTCTCCGCTTGTAGTTCTCTTTAGCTAAAGCTAGAGGCTGCCATTGGCACCTAAATTAGAATGCTTTATTTGGCGTATTCTTTAGCGTATATTTCCGGTTAGAGAGAACCTTAAATGTCACGGTGTTATGGTGGAGGACATTTGTCCAGTTTGTGAATATGAGAAAGAAGAGTTGCTAGAACATATTTTCGTTCGTTGTCACGTTGATGTACAGCTTCGCCATCTTTTAGGCATTCAATCAATGGGGTATTCAGATATTCAACATTTCTCTTTACTATGGTGAGATCTTATCTTCCATACCAATGATGACACTATAACCAATTGGGTTTTACTATGCTTTTTGTTTTTGGGAATGTCGGAATATGTTGTTTTTCTCCCCCAGGCCCAGTATACCCTTGCTTGCCTTCATTGTCAACTCCTTGCACATCACGCCGACCATCATACTATCGTCCAACACTCACACCACCTCTTCCTCCACCACCTCATCAGCTCTTTCGTCTTCCGTTTCCTGAGGTTTTTGTATAGCAGTGGATGGACAACAAGGCAGCCGATGCAGTGGCGGACCCAGGAATTTTGAGTAGGGGTGTCTGCTTTCAAAATAAAATTAAAAATAAAATAAAATAATTCTTAAATAAGAAAAGTATCCGAATAATATTCAACAACACAAATATTTGGTTAATACAAGTTACAACAAATTTCCACGTCGTGTTTTCATATTTTGAAAATATTCTAAAATACACTCCGTGTCTACAGTATTCAGCAAATCTCTTTCAATATATCCTACGAGACAATCATTCACAAACTGATCGCCTAGTCGATTCCGAAGCTTGTTCTTGATGTAACTCAAAGCTGAAAATGCTCTTTCAACACTTGCAGTTGCAACCGGTAAAGTCAATACAACTTTGAGAAGCAAATGTACCCATGGATATGATAGATTCACTTTTGTCTTCACCATCAGCTGACACAATTCATCAATTCCTTTTAATCCATGGAATAACTCATCATTCTTCATAGAATGATAGTAATTCTCAAAGTCCCTTAGAAGAAAAGAGTCAGAAAGATGACCAAACTCTGTAGGATAAAATCGAGTAAGACTAACCAGCTTCTCCCTGTCAAAAGCAGCAAACTCATTCTCCGGGCTAAGAGAAGCCATACAAGTCAACAACCTAGTATTCACCTCATCAAAACGGTTGTTCAACTCTTGCAGCTGCATATCAAGAACAGAGTAATACAATTCAACCTGATAGTGATGCAAGTTTGTGATCTGTGGAGCCTTGCGCCTTGATCGTCCTGGAAGAACATACTCATCATCCATGCCAAGAACGTGAACAGATTCCTTAGTGCAAAACAAGATAACATCCTCAAGTAGAGACTCCCATCCTCGATCTCTCATCTCTTGTAATCTAGTTTTTCCCACACGAACAAGTTTCATAGCATTTACAATGTCTTGATCTCTCCTTTGCAATGCTAGTGACAACTCATTCGTAATTGCTAACACTTCAATCATCAATTTCAAAATGAAGACAAACCTGAAATCTTGAATTGTAATCAACATCCGCCATGCATGACTCGCTGTTTTTGGTTCTGTAGTTGGATCATCCTCGATTCTCTCCAACACATTAATAATAGTAGAGAACAAGTGCTCAAAATTGAGAAGTGCACCATAATAAGAAACCCAACAAGTATCACCTGGCCTTTTGAGACTCATTTCTTGATTCAGTCCTTGTCCAGTTTCTTGTTCATTAGCAGCTATAGCCTCCGCAAGCTTCCTAGTTTGGCTATCTCGAACCATGTCAGCTCGTTTGGAAGACCCTGCAACCAAACTAGTCACACTATTGACTGTTGTGAAAAAGTCACCAACTTCTTTGTGATTTTTTTGCCAAGATCAAGGTCTTCAAACCATTTATTTCCCCTTTCATGTTGCTAGCTCCATCATAGCCTTGTCCCCTTATCATTGACATGCTCAATCCATGTTTCAAAAGCATTGCTTCGATTTCCTTCTTCAATGTCAAAGCTTTAGTATTTCGCACATGAGAAGTACAAAGAAATCTTTCCATAACACAACCATAAGAATTCACATAACGCAAAACAATAGCCATCAGCTCTTTCATTGTTATATCACGAGTCTCATCAACCAATATGCAGAAAAAATTATCCCCAATCTCTACAATGATTTTCTTAGTCGTTTCACAAGCCATGGCATGAATAAGATCTCTTTGAATCTTTGGAGAGGTGAGTTGGAGCATTCCTCCCAACCACTCTTTGCACATCTTCTCTACCAAGAGCATGAAAATCTAATAGCTGAAGAAAGTTACCTCTGTTACTTGAAGTTGTAGATTCATCATGCCCTCGAAAAGATAATCCATTCACTACTAGCCACCTTATGCAATCAAGTGAAGCAACCAAACGAATTCGATAATCTCTTTTGGCTTGATCTGATTGTCTAAATAATGCAGCTTCAATTCCTCTTGATTGCTTCAATAAAAGATCTGAACTGTTTTTAGCTCTATTGTGGTAGCTGTTATGCTCCCCAACATGATCATCAAAAGCTTTCAATTTATTCCATGTTCTAAATCCTTCACCAATAAAGCCATTATTACTCCCACCTCGCTTACTGAACACATAGCAATATAGACAATAACCAGCATCTTTTGAGACACTATATTCAAGTCAATTATACTTCTTAAACCAAGAAGCCTGGAATCTACGTTGCCTTCCACTAAAGTTTCTGGCGGGAAAAGCATGACTCTTTGGTTGAATAGGACCTTTTTGAAGATAAAATCTTCTAACCTAGTCACAGACATTGGGATGAAAGCTAGATATCTTAGTTCTTAATGCCGGATCTAGCACCAAAGAGTTTTCATCAAACTCTCTATCTGACTCTGCTGAGAAAGACTCACTTTCTTCTGGAGTTCGATTGACTAAACCTGAAAGATTTGGTTCTTGTATTTGAGGAGCTCCCACTATCGACGAAGGAGGAAAGGTTTGAGCTTGTCTACTCCCACTAGCTTCAACACCTTCAGTTTGAACATTAGGAGTAGATTGGACTTGTCTTGAGTAATATCTTTCCATTGGTACCTGAAATTAACAATTGAAATGGCGGATGCTGTTTACATGTGAAATTGTATCCAAACTTCTTCTTCTCTTTCTTCTAGCTATTGTATTGTATCCGAAATTCCCACACTTCAATTGTTTACATTTGTATCAAACAACTTTGAGAAATCAAACAAATTCCTTTCTAGAGGTCGACAGCTTCCCATTGCGGCTAGTTAAATTGAGAGAGTGGGAGAAGGAAAAGCTTACCGTCAGAGGGGAAGGGGAAGTTGCAGGCTTGCAGCGGCTGAAATACTCCTCAGACAGTGGAGGCCGGCGGATGAGGGCGAGCCGGCGAGGTCAGCGGAGGCCGGCGGATGAGGGCGAGTCGGCGAGGTCATCGGAGGAGGGCGAGGACGGCGGAGGAGGGAAAAGCTGGCGGAGGAGGGTTGTGTTCGGATCAGCGGCGCGATGGAAGCAGCCCCAGCCCGCAGTCCTTTTTTTTTTGCGAAGATGAGAATGTGAGTTGTGTTTAGTTTTAGGGTTTTGTTGTCAAATTGTGGATAAAATTAATATGTTTATAACTATCCGTATCTTAAAATTACAGCAAGATATATGTTGTAGTGTGGTGGAAAACATGTTAGCTAATAACTAGGGTGCCCTAGGTTCAAATCCCATAAACCACTATTATTTTTTTCTTTTTTTTCTAGGCTCAAACTACTACTGGGGTTCGATAAATTTTCTCCGAGATTTAGGGGTGTCCCCTGGGTCCGCCCCTGAGCCGATGCATGGTGATGTTGTAATAGTAGGCTTGAAAACTCGCCCCATTATTAGCATATGGACGAGTGGTACAAGGTATCACATATCCTTATTTGGTGGAACTCTGCCATATGTGAGGCTCTATACCTCATTATTCGACGATACATTCAGATCACCAGTGATGTTAGGATGGTGCTTCAACAGTTGGTTTCTGGTGTGACACACGGTGCTACAGGTGGAGCGATCTTGTGTGAAGTGCATTCTCTTCTACAACACTTATCTATTGTATGTTTTGTGTAGACACCTCGAGAATCAAATCAAACCGCCCCATTTATCTGACTTACCCGCAATGATATAGTGAAAAAAAAAAAAAAAAGAGAGAGAGAGAGAGAGAGCCAACCTTCCTGTCTCGACTCTCGGGTCTCCAATTTCCTTGAACAGAGGTTGAACCAAGACCAGGCGGGCAGGTTCTCTGTTTGAGCCCTCAGTTCTCATCTGATTCAATCGCTCTCCGTCTCTCTCTATACCGTGTGTCGGTTGCTGAGAAAGGAAAAGAGAGAATGGGGATCCGGTTCATTTTGATGGTGAACAAGCAAGGCCAGACTCGTCTTGCCCAGTACTACGAATGGCTCACTCTCGAGGAACGCCGAGCCCTAGAAGGCGAAATCGTCCGTAAGTGCCTCGCCCGCAACGAGCAGCAGGTTTCTCTCTACCTCTCCCCACTTTCTCCCGATCATGATTTCCCTCGAAATCTTCGATCCTAGGTCGTGTGCTTCCCTGATTCATCTAATTCGCCGCAGTAGTTGCTCTTTTAATCATCAAGCCTAAACCTGTTTTTCGATGATCCAGCTCAATCAAATCGTAACAAGAGAGCAAACCCAGTTCTGTTCTGACATTGACGATGAAGCACAAGAGTTTTTCTAAATTTCGAAGTTGAACTGTATATGATCTGACCAAGTTTCCCTTTTGATGGTAGTGCTCGTTCGTTGAGCATCGCAATTACAAGATCGTGTACAGGAGATACGCATCCCTGTTTTTCCTGGTTGGAGTTGACAATGACGAAGTAGGGTTCCTTGTTCTCACCTTTGTTTGTTTCCTTGCATCTATTAGATATAAAGGGGAATGAATGGATTTTAACCATCTGGGTTTTTGTTTGATTGAGACTTTCTGCTTCGAATGGCTATGGAGATTCCGTTGTTTGAACATCTTCTGCCAGTGAGCTAAGCTTTTTCCCTTTGATTGCTTGCAGAATGAGCTCGCGATTCTGGAATTCATACATCTCTTAGTTGAAACCATGGACCGTCATTTTGGCAATGTGGTAAGTCCTTTGGTTTGACGATTGATGGAATTTATTTAATCTTTCGCTCGACCTAAATTGCCAGTAAGGTTGCATTTGCATCAAGAAGACGCTTACTTGCTTTCGAAATCTATTGTTGTTTGCAATCAGTGTGAGCTAGACATAATGTTCCATTTAGAGAAAGCCCATTTCATGCTGGAGGAGATGGTCATGAATGGTTGCATTGTCGAGACAAGCAAATCCAACATCCTCAGCCCCATTCAGTTGATGGAGAAAACATCCTAGGCAAGAACTGATTCTTGATTTTGCACTCATTGCCTTATATCTCTCGCTCAGGTTTTATCGCTCGCTTTTCGTATTTTTATGTTGGTAGAGAGCCCCAAGAACTTCATGTCATCAGTCAAAGCTCTCTGCTTACAACACAGAATGTTTATGAAAGATGAACAATGTATAATTGTAACTTGTCTTAGTTGAATAGATAACTACGATACGTTTTCTTTGCGTATCAACTCTCCTGCTCTGCAGTTTGGCATCGTGTTCTTATTTACTGTTTTTTGTTTCCGTCTTTGATAAATGTGTACTGATCTATAGGATCAGGAGGAAACCAAATGTTTGCTCTTTAAGGATTGTTGAGATTCTCAACGTTTTGTTTAGCTCATAGTAACCGATGATGTGCCTTAGAATGACAGATTTATTTCACAGATTAATTGCCAGATGAAATAGAGTTTGACCTTTGATCGTTTGCCATCTTGAATGTACATATACTTCAGGGCTTTAGAGACCCCCTTAGAATCACTTAATTACACCTGCCATGCATTGTTGGCCAATAGTCCTAAAGATGTAGGGAACAGTTTCGAATTGATCAGGCAGCTGCTGGCCTGCCATCCTTCCGTAGGTCACTTACTGCAGTTAGCATTCCATGGATTACTGTATTGTCGCCAACATTCGTCTTTCGTTTAATCGGGTTTTGTAGAGACTGAACAACAAGCTGCACTATGGCTCCACCTGCATGTGCATTCAATTCATGACCCCTTTCTCTCAAGAAATCCTTCCTCTGGTCTGCAAGCTCTATGTGATCCCCGCATAGCAAAGTCCAGTTCTCGTACTTGACCACATTTGGTATCAACTGCAAACAAAAACACCACATCATAATCGTCAATTCGGTTTGACCCTCTCTCTGCAAATATTGAAAGCAGTGTGATTTTATGAAGGAAGAATGCACAATACAAACTTCGTGGTAAACCCTTGGACTTAGGACTGCATGTAAAGGTTCCATCCCAAGCACAAAATGGTTGATGAAGACTTGTACTATTGCGGGAATGATGTACAAGCCGCCGCTTCCTCCAAGCACTCCAGCCAGCTGATTGCCCTGCGTTTAAAGCAAACATACAAGCTTAAGGGGACACCTGAGGATGTGATCCAGGTAGATTTAAGTCCATATAGTTGGCACCTTTTTTGCTCAATCAACCAATAGATTTAGAGGTCAAGTTTGTCATCTACACCACACATACAATTACCTTGGTAACTATAATAGGTGTCATGGAAGATAATGGCCGCTTATTTGGTTCGATGAAGTTTGCAGGCGCAGGAGGGAGCTGATCAGCAGATATCTCGGTTGGAGCTGAGAAATCGCCCATCTCGTTGTTGATCACGATCCCAGTCGAAGGAGACAGCAACCCAGCTCCAAATCCATAGTTCACAGTCGTCGTCATCGACACAGCATTTCTCTCCCCATCAACAATGCATAAATGGCTGGTTCCATGATCTCTCAGCTGACTCCACCTGCAACTCAAAAGTCCAAGAACAGTGATTTAAGCATCATATATATCATGGCAGTCATATGTAAGATTTGGTCCTGGACAGTTTACTTGTGCATGTAATACTCCGGCGGGAAAGTAGTGTTGTCAAATATCAGCTTCTGAATCTTCTCACCAAATGACGGAGAAAGCATCTGAGCTTGAACCTTAGTAATATCAACAAAATCAGGATCTCCCAGGTTCATTCTCAGTGCAAACATGTGCTTCAACGATTCGATCAGCCGGTGCAGACCGATTCCCCCTTTCGCAGCATCAACACTTCCATAGCTTTTGAAGATGTTCATCACCAGCGACATCCCAAGAGTTCCACTAGAAGGAGAAGGCATTCCATGTATGGTGTAACCCATGGCATCCACAGCAACTGCATCAGTGACTCTCACCCTGTAGTTCTTCAAATCCTCCATCTTTATTATCCCTCCAGCTTTCCTCACATCCTTCACCAGGTTCTCACCCACACTGCCATTGTAGAACACCTCTGGCCCATGCTCGGAAATGGCTTCCAACGTTCGAGCTAGCTCTGCATTGTAGCATACATCGCCGGCTTTCAATAGCTTGTTACCGGGTGCAAACACTTTCTGCAATCCGGGATCGTTCAGGATCTTGGTGCTTTCGGCTATGGACAGGGCTAAGTAAGGAGCGACCACAAAGCCATCTTTGGCGAGTTTTATTGCAGGTTGGAATAAGGACTTCCATGGCAAGCGGCCATATTGCTGCCAAGCTTCATGAAGGCCAGCTATCTCGCCAGGAACCCCCATTGATAGTGGACCTAAGTACTTGGCGCCAATGTCATTTGCATACATGTTCTGGACTCAAGTCACAACCAAATTCACAACAGCAAGAGACCATATGAGAAAAATACCCAGAATGAGAAGTGACAGAACGGTATATGTAGGCTGTGTAATAATCATGAAGCAAGAAAAATATTGTAACATAATTTTTTTTTTTGAAAATTAGGGGGCAAATTACATACTTACCAAAGTAGCAAATACCCAATTCCAATTCATAAAATTTTATTCGGTATCGGTATATACCAAATACCAAATTAATTTTTTTTAAAATTACAAATCAAATATATAAACACAAATACCAGCTCCACAAACCACTCTCAAAACATACAAAAACAAACAACGGTGTGGTGCTAACACTTGTGCAAAACAAATGGGAAAATCTCAAGTATAATAGCAACACACTAGAAAAATGTGGTGACATAGAAGTTAGAAGCACATTAACAAACTAAACCAACAAACTAAAACCAACAAACTAAAACATGGAGCGACTAAGCAACCCATGGACATACTACAAGTAACAAAACGAGCTTGATATGAGTTGTCAATTAGTGAGGGAATGAAGTATGTATAATTAAGTGACCATATTGACAATTAAGGGTAAGGGTATGGTATTAATAAGTGAGTGAGTCTAGTTGAAAGGGATAAAATACACACTAGGTTATATTCAATATTGATCGATATTTCCGTATATATCTATCTCAATCCCATAATTCTTAATACCAAATAACACTGAAAATTCAATTCTAATATCAAGAAAAAATACATATATTTAATAATAAAAAACATCAACAAGTTCAATATGATATTCGATATATATCAAATAATTATACCAAACTTCCAGTCTTAACAATAGTGGTGGTTGGATTTAGAGGGGAAAGAGAAAATTTTATTTTCTTCGTATTGTTTAATTGTGTTGATATCCAAAAAAAGGATAAAATTAAATCTAATCTTAAACTTTAAGATAGGGCTACTTTGAGTAAAAACTAGGGCAATGAATTGCAAGGTCAGACCTTTGTAGCAGCAGAAGGGGCAGTTTCTCTCATGTCGAAAGCTCGAACTTTGGAAGTGGAAGAAGACCTGACGACCATGAAACCACCGCCACCGATCCCACTCGCCATGGCATTCACTACTCCGAGGCACAACACCGTGGCGACTGCTGCATCGACGGCATGTCCGCCTTGCCTGAGAACTGAAGCGCCAATTTGAGAGCACCTGGCATCATCTGCTGCCACAACTCCATTCTCCGACTCAATTTCTGCATTCTCATCACCTTCAATAGCTCTATTCCCATTCAATCGAAACAGGGGATTCACATCGCCCAAAAGGAATACTCCCAGCAGAGCTGCAATCACAAAATAGTTAGGCTGCGAACACACCAATCGAGCAACGAGAAAAAAAGTCCAAAAGGTAAAAAGGATAAACATTTTTAGCTCCACACTTTAACAGTTCGAATTCAGCTAGAATTGGGACAGAACCCAGGAAAGAAGAAGAAAAACCCATGACGCTAAACATGGAAAATTCTTACCAACGATGGCTAACAAGGCAGGAATCAGGAACAGAGCTATTTTGCCCCAATTCCGCTTCTTAAAAGGCGAGACGCCATTATCGGTACCCAGAAGTGGAGTTTGGGAGCTCTGCTGGCGGGCCATGAGGACTACTTTCTCGATTTGGCCTTTTGAGAATCGATGGGTGAAGAAGAGTAGAGGGGATAAAGGGGAAGGGGGTTACTTGTGGGAGATGACAACTAGCTACCCAGCTGAGCCGCAGTTGCCAGTTGGTGGGTGACTGACTTTTCGTGGCGATGGACGAGCTGCTAAAATGGAAGAATGAGTTTAGACTATTATCAAATTGCTGGATTTTCCATGTTTTTCTGGAGATGATTCCGAGGGGCGGAAGTATGGGTTTGATCAACAGAGTAGAACTGCCCAGCTTTTCCTGCGGTCTGACTTGGCCAGAATCGAGAAGGAATCTCCTGCTTTTCTCTGTGTGTTGGGGAGTATTTTAATTATTCGCCTTGGGTTTCCAATTTGTTTGTTAATTCAGGACGTTTCTGCTTTGGTGGCGACTGAAAGAAAGCGACGGGATAATGATACTGTGAGAGGGTTCGAACTTGGATGGATAGAGGGTCAGTGGTTAGCGGCTTTTTTTTTATAAGTAAATCTTCCATTCATTCGAACCCAAATACCCAATTAAACAGGGCAGAGATTACAGCATATCTGTACAACATTAAGAACAGACAACCACTCAGTGTGAAGAGAATCTTTTCTAAAGTTACGTTGCACCCGATCCGCATTCTCGACCTGTTCTTGCTAGGGATGGCAATTTTGACTTGATCCGATTTACCCGACCTTTTTGGCCTGTTTTGGGGCAGGTCAGACCCACCCCGTAGGCGGGGCGGGTATGGATACCTCTCATCGATCCGACCTGCCCTGACCCGCCCCATTCTCGACCCGTTTTTGCCTAAATTACATGTAATCTTAGTAAAATTACTTAGGATTTTTCTTTCATTACATTATATTTTAGCTATAATAAAGTAGTAAATAAGTGAAAACATCAATTTCTTAAATAATTTAACTACATTTTATCATATTATGTTTTTTGGTCTTTTAGTGAAAATAACAAATAGTTCTAATGTTTTTTGAATAAATTACGTACCCATTGGGTCGACCTGCCCCGATCCGCGCCCCGTGATAAATTACCTGACCTGGACCCTACCTGCTATGGGGCGGGTACGGGTATCGAGAAACCCGCCCCAGACCTACCCTATTTCCATTCCTAGTTCTTGCCTAAATTACATGTAATTTTAGGCAAATTACTTAATATTTTCCTTTTATTACATCGTATTTTAGCTATTATAAAGTTGTAAATTAGTAAAATCTCAATTTCTCAATTAATTTAACTACATTTTATCATATTATGATTTGTTTCTTGGTTTTATGATGAAAATAATTTATATTTCTAATGCTTTTCATATAAATTACATACTCATTGGGTCGACTTGCCCCGACCCGCGGCCCGTCATAAATTACCCGACCTGTACTCGACCCGCCACGGGACGGGTATGGATATCGAGATACCCGCCCGGGACCTGCCCCATTGCATTCCTACCCGTGGAGGAGACACAAATCCAATCACTAGGATGAAGAATAGCACGTATAGAGCCAATAAGAGCATAACAGCTCCAGTACCAAGAGTAGGGGTCTTCTTTAAGAGCATCCACCAGTGTCTTACTGATATACCCAATGTAAAAATATTTTTACAACACCAGCTCACCATATTCTCAAACAGTGCATCAGTGCACCTAGGCCGATAATCGTGCACAACCCATGATATCTCTAGTGAAATATTGGGTCAGGCCCATCTAGCTCCAATCGGTACAGAATTGTGTCATGGCCCGCCAACACTAAATCATTCAGTGGCTCGTGATTGCCTCCAGTTGAGGGTTCCTCCCTCCGAGCCCGGCTCTCCCCGATGCATTATTGCGCCTGGACCTGGCGCCTGTGCCCGTTATCGCTCCCTGGGCCCGGGCTTCATCTCATTCCTGGCGCCCAGGCCCTCTATTTCCCCGGCTCCCGACAACGGGCCCTCACCTCTTGTCCGGTTCTTGGCGCCCGGACCCGTTATCGCTCCCAGGGCCCGGCTCCCGGGTTTCGCCTCTTTCCCGGTGCCAGGGCCCACAATTGCCCCGGCTCCCGGCGACGGTCCCTAATCTCTTGTCCGAATTCTGGCTCCCGGGCCCACAATTGCTCTGGCTCGTGGCGGCGGGCCCTCATCTCTTGTCCAGATCCCGGCGCTGGGCCTGCTATTGCCCCGGCTCTTGGCGATGGGCCTTCACCTTTCATCTGTTTCCCGGTGCCCATACCCGTTATCGCTTCCGGAGCCCGGCTCCCGGGCGTCGCCCTCCTCCTGGCTCCCGGGCCCACAATTTCCTCGGCTCCCGGTGGCAGGCCTTCACCTCTCGTCCGGTTTCCGGCGCCCGGGTTCGATATCGCTCCTAGTCCCTTGCGTACGGGCCTGCTATTGCCCCGGCTCCCGGGCTTCGCCCTCCTCCCTGCACCCGGCCTACAATTTCCCCGGCTCCCAGCGGTGGGCCTTCACCTCTTTTCCGGTTTCCAGCGCCCAGTCCCGTTATCGCTCCCGGACCACGACTCTAGGGTTTTGCACTCCTCCCGTCACCTGGGCTTTGCCCTCCTTTCGTCACCCAAGCCCACAATTGCCCCGGCTTCCGGCGGTGGACCTTCACCTCTAATCCGGATCCTGGCGCCCGTGCCTGTTATCGATCCATGTCCCCTACGCCCAGGCCCGCTATTGCCCCGGTTACCGGCGTTAGGCCTTCACTTCTTGTCCGACTCTCGCCGCCCAGGCCCGATATTGATCCCAGTGCCCGACTCCCAGACTCCGCCCTCCTCCAGGCGCCCAGGCCCGCTATTGTTCTGGCGTGGGTCTTCTCCTTTTGGCTGGTTCCCGAACCCGTTGTCGCCCCCCACTCCCGGCACCCGGATCCATATCTATTCTCCCCACCTGGATCCATTGCATGCACTCCTACATGCACATGTGTCATTCCCTCTCCTCAATTAGTCTGCATGTGGCAAGAGTGTTCCCCTTAGGCAAAAACATGGTTGACATGTGTACAGCCATGTGGCGGGCACTGATGGGCCTAGACGACACATGTTCAGTGACGTGTCCTTCTTTTATCTCCGGCGCCGACACCTGTCCTACCTTTGTCCCTCCAAGTAGAGGCACAAAGGTTTCCTCCTCCGGATCAAGGTTTCCTCCTTCGAATTACATAACTAGCACCTCGGGGTGAGAGAGCATCTATGTCAGAAGAGATTTAGACTGGTGGCCAATGCATTCCTGATGCATCTCCACATGAAGAAAGAAATCTTTAGGGGAAGCATATGTGACCAAAGCCACTTCCAATTTCTGCAGCAGGCACATTGAGATCAAGAGGTTGAGAGGAATGGAGGTTGCTAAGGTGCTTGCGTAAGGCATGATATGCGGCCCTAACAGAGAACTCCCCCTATGGCGTAAATATCCAACCCCATTTATCATTTGTTTCACTTGGGCCGGTATGAACCTGTGAGATAGCTTCAACTTCAGCCTCGGAACAGTGTCTCCTGATAAGATCAATTCCAGCCTCGCCTGTCCTCATTCATACAATCTTTGACACGTGAGGAAGGATCTAGTCTAGAGGAGATCCTTTAGCCTTAATCATGCAGAGGATGCACCCAAAAATCACTATGGAACCAAGTATTAACCCATGAGCCAATCACTTGAATAATACCGATATCAAGAGCCTTCCAAGCGTCACACAAGCTTGCTTAAATGCAATATGTGGTGCTTCCTTTCCGTGCCGAAGAGAAATCTCCATTTGGGAAGTAGAGCCCACGAAGCATTCTTGCCCAAAGAGTCTCATGTTCCGTGATTAACCTCCACTCCACCCCTACTTAGTCAACAAAGAAAGATTGAATAAGTGAAAATCCTGGAAACCTATGCCCCCTCAAGTTTTGAGTCATTAAGCACTTCCCCTTTCCGCCATGGAATGGATTACTTTGTCAGCGAACAAGACCAGAAGAATCTATGGAGGAGAGAATCCATTCTCCTACTGAGAGAACAAGGGAGAAGGAAGACGCTCATAATATATGTTGGAATAGCTTGGATCACCACCTTCAACAGAGTCTCTTTTCCTCCATGAGATAAAATTAGGCTCTTCCATGATTCTCTTTTCTTTTCCATCCTTCAGATGAAAAAAATAAATGTGTCCTTCCTCGATCGTCCCCATTCAATTGGAACTCCCAAATACTTGTCATGACAAATGTGGGAAGAGAAAACAAAGAAAGTAGAAATCTGGTTTCAAATATCATCCGGAGTATTCTTGTTGAAAAACATATATGAGTTTTCCATGTTAACCTCTTTCCATGTTGATATGATCCCAAATTGCTTGAAATCCAAGTCTCCATTCATGTGTAAAGAATCAAGTTCAATTGAAGAGAAGCAAACTTAAAATTGTCTAAGTGTTTTGACTGTTTCAGGGAGCCGACTTTGCAAGCTTGGTCGTCATAATTGGCGAAGATGGGAGTTTAAGGGCTTGTTTAGAAGTTGGCATGTTCTTCTACAAGCTGGAGTGTTTGGAAGCTCGAGAGGAAGTCAGGAAGTGAATTTTCAAGGCTGCTCATAACTCATTGTCAACACAGGAAAACCGCCAGAAAATGGCTAAATGTAAAACCGAGTTCATGAAGCTTACTTTGGAGCTCAATTCGAGAAGGATGGCTGCAAGTCGAGTCCAGAGGCTTACACCACATGAAATTAGGGATAATCTAATACAAAGAAGTGGAGTTGGATGATTAAAAGGGTACCTTGAGGCCTTCGAACGAACGTGTGCAAGATCGTCCGAAGACTGACAAAACTGTCTTGTAAACCAAGGAATCTGAATCCTTCTCGAATTAGGATTACTATTATGTTTTGCTCATTGTTTCCTTTTAGTTGTTGGATTTGAGTTCCTTTTCGAGTTGTACTGTACTCAGAACTTCCTTTTGAGTTGTAAGCGTAGCTAGTGTCTATTTAAGTCGAGTTGTTCCTTGTAATTTTGAGTTCTTATGCACAATCGAATACAAACCCGAGTTTGATTCATCTTTCTTGTTGGCTTGACCATTTGAGTTGATTTCTTAGTGGAATTCTAAGCAATTGCTAGCTTGTATCGATCATCTAGTAACGCTGTTCGTGGCCAAGCCTATACCTTTAGTTATCGAGCCTTTTTCCCTTGTGAAAATTGCACTACAAATGCCATCTAACCACACAAAACAAGCCTTTGTTTTGGTGTGTTCTTTGTTGAGTACAAGTTCGATCATTGTGGATTGGTTTGGAGCTGCGAATTCTGATCAAACAACCCCCTAGGTATTGTATTAAGTGGTATCAGAGGCTGGTTCAACTCTGTGGCAACAACGGGGAAGAAGAACCGACCTGTTGCCACGAGAACTAGGCATATAGATCCGATTGCCCTACGGAAACCCGAAGAACTTGAGTCTGACGACGAGGATCAATTGAGCGATTCATCAATGGCGGGACATCAGTTTAATATGGAGGAGTTGATAGCCCAAATTGATGCACAATTCCAGGCGCAATTGGGGCGATTCATGCGCAAAATCGACTAGAGGTTAACCGGTTAATCCAGGCGCAATTGGCGCAATCAGAGCAGGGGCAGTTCCATGTGAGGATGATCGTAAACAGTTATTCGGTTAACCATTTAACCATCGATTGTTAACCGTTTAACCATCAATTAGTTATTAGCTGAATTTGGCTACCGAGAATTGACCATTTATCATTTAATCGGTTATCAGTGTAACCGTTAAGCACCGGTTTTGGTTCGGTTATCGGTTACACCATCAACGGGATAACCGTTTACCAACCCTAGTTCCATGACAGGAAATTCCAGCTGAAAACTAGAAATTACTGGGCCGAATCGAGGAATTGGATCGATGTTTGGTTGTGGCGTAACCCAATCACGATCATCAGAGACAAATGTTGACAAATGTTGACCCTAATAAGTTCGAGGCACGACTTGAAGTCAACAAATCAACTCCCAGAAACGTAATCCATCTCCTATTGAGCGTTCAGGTGGAATCAAATGCTTCAAATGCCACGTGAGATGGTACAAGGCCAATCAATGCACCAATTATAAAGCTCTAATCATCAAGGACAGTGAATACCTTACCGACGACGAGAAAGGCTCAAGTGAAGAGGAGGACGTTGACAAGGATATCAAAGTGGAATAAGCTCCAACTGGGAAGCTTATGACCGTCAGCTGGAGAACCCTTACCGTTGAGACTTTGCCGGATTCAGATCAGAGGAACAATTTGTTTCACTCTAGGTGTATGGTTGCCGGAAATTTGTTGTCATTAATATCGATGGATGCATCTGTGCTAACGTCATTAGCCAAAAAATTGTGACAAAGCTCAGGTTGAGCACAACCAGAAATCCTAAGCCTTACAATCTACACTGGCTTAACAACTACATGGCAATATGAGTAACAAAGCAAGCCAAGGTGAACTTTGAGATCAGAGCATACAAGGATGAGCTCGAATTCGATGTGGCTCCAATGCAAGCTGCTCATTTGCTGCTAGGGAGGCCCTGGAAATTTGATCGTGCAGTGACCCATGATGGAGGCACCAATTGTTACAAATTCAGGTGCCATGGTAAGAAAGTTGTACTGAAACCTTTGTTGTCGGAAGACGTTCAAGCAGATCAGAGGCAATTGGAAGCCAGTCGAAGGCGAACCAAAGGTGAATCCAGTGTGAAGAAGCTAGAGAGTCCACTACTAGCGGCGTTTCATGTTGAGTGGATATAAGAAAGAAAGGATACCTCGACGTCGTCGACCCTGCAACTCTTCGCTGGAGCAGAGCAAGAGAGAGGGTGATTTGGGTGGAGCCCTGGAGAGCGATCCAACCCCAACTGAAAACGTCATCACAATCCATGATCTGTAGGTAAGCTTCACCACAATCAGGATTGGGTCGAATTCAACTGGATTACATAATCCGATTCGAGCTGAAATTACTATGAAAACGAGCAAACTCGATGAAAATTGGTCCATTGGTTGGACGTTTGAGAATGATTCGACGTAAGCTACTAGTGTGTCAGGGAAGGAAGTCTGAAGCTGTAGGAAGCTTCAATTTCACTCGGAGATCCCTGGAGTGAAAACGCCCAAATCAAAATTGAAGTTTCTGGGTTCTGGCAATTTGAACCTCGACGATGGCGAGAAAGATGGAATCGTCGATTCGACGACTATGGCAATGAGTCGATAGGGGAGACTGGCCCAGAATTGCAATTCGAAGTCTGACAAAACTCGTGGAGGCAATGAATTAGGCTAGGAATGCTTCAATTCGAAATCCCCAAATTCACACCACGATGAACACTGTCCTAATTCTCCAGAAATTCAAGTTCAAGTAGGGCGTTTCCGATCTAATTTGGGAACAATTCTGTGAAAGGTTAGAGCAACGGAAGACCAAATCTTTGAGGGCAAAACTTTTTGAAGAAGGGGGGAGGGGCCTGATATGATCTCAAATTGCTTGCAATCCAAGTATCCATTCATTTGTAAAGAAGCAAGTTCAATTGAAGAGAAGAAAAGTGAAAGTTGTCTAAGCGTTTTGACTGTTTCAGCGAGCAGACTTTGCAAGCTTGGTCGTCACAATTGGCGACGAAAATGGGAGTTTAAGAGCTTGTTTTGAAGCTGGCATGTTCTTCTACATGATGGAGTGTTTGGAAGCTTGAGGGAAAGTTAGGAAGGGAATTTTCAAGGCTGATCAAAGCTCGTTGTCAAAACAAGAAAACTGCCAGAAAATGGTTGTGTAAAATCGAGTTCATGAAGTCTACTTTGTAGCTCAATTCGAGAAGGATGGCCGCGAGTTGAGTCTAGAGGCTTACACCACATGATAGTAGGCATAATCTACTACAAAGACGTGGAGTTGGATGATTAAATGCGTACCTTGAGACCTTCGAACGAACGTGTCCAAGATCGTCCAAAGACTGACAAAACTGTCTTGCAAACCAAGGAATCTGAATCCTTCTCGGATTAGGATTACTATTATGTTTTGCACTTTGATTCCTTTTAGTTGTTGGATTTGAGTTCCTTTTCGAGTTGTATTGTACTTAGAACTTCCTTTTGAGTTGTAAGTGTAGATAGGGTCTATTTAAGTCGAGTTGTTCCTTGTAATTTTGAGCTTTTATGCACAATCGAATACAAACCCGAGTTTCATTCATCTTGCTTGTTGGCTTGACGAATTGAGTTGATTACTTAGTGGAATTCTAAGAAATTGCTAGCTTTTATCGATCATCTAGTCATGTTGTTCGTGGTCAAGCCTCTCCCTTTAGTTACCGAGCCTTTTTCCCTTATGAAAATTGCACGACAACTTCCATCCAAACACATAAAACGAGCCTCTATTTTGTTTTGGTGTGTTATTCGTTGAGTTCAAGTTCGATCGTTGTGGATTGGTTTGGAGCTGCGAATTCTAATCAAACAATCCCCTAGGGTTGTATTACATGTTAAAGCCTTGTACTTATTAATGATATCCACGATTGAAATTGCTTCCTCCCTCGAGGCTTTCCCAAAAATTACCGTATCATTTGCAAAATGACAGTGAGAAAGTCGAGGGTAGTTAGGCTTAATCTTGAGACCTTGGATAGTCCATGAAGAGACCCCTTTATCTAGTACAAAGGAGAGAGCATTAGACATAAGAATGAACAAGAATGGAGAAAGATGATTTCACTTTCGAATGCCCCTCAATGGGGTGAAAACTTCGTCAATCCTCCATTAAGTAAAATGGAGAAACAAACCGTTCAGATGAACTCCTTAACCAAATTGTGCCAGGTCTGATTGAACCCATATGTGTTGAGAAGCGCCTCTAAATAGTCGCAATCCACTAAATCGTAAGCCTTCCTCATGTCAATTTTTAACATCATATTAAATCTTCTCTCCTAGCGTCGGTTCTTGAAATGTTGGAGAACCTCATGCATAACTATAATGTTATCTTTAATCATACGACCTCCAATGAAGGTTGCTTGCTTTTCTGATACAAGGTTTGGCATAAATTTCTTGATTCGACTCGACATAATCTTCGAGACAACCTTGTATTTGAATTTGCAGCAACTGATGAGCCGGAACTGTCCGATAATCTCCGGAGATGGTATCTTGGGGATTAAGCAATATGGGTATCATTCCATCCCAGAGGATGTGAAGCCATGGAGAAAAAGGAATGAATCTCCCTGCAAAAATCCTCACCCACCGTATTTCAAAACTTCCTATAGAAACTCTCTAAAAAGACATATGGGGCTGGAGATTTTTGAGGTCCTAAAGAGAAGAAAACCTGTTTGATATCCTCCCTAGAAACTAGTCTGCTGATCTTAGAGTTCATATCATCATCAACTAGTCGAGGAAAATCCTGCAGAAGGTCAATATTAAACCCTGTCTCCTTTGTAGTGAATAACTCCTTGTAGAACTCTTTAACATGAGCTGCCAGCAATGAGGGTTGCTATCCAGCTCCCGTCCTGTCCTTTTAAACCCCAAAAAGGGGTTGTAGTGTCATATGAAGACTGCAGAATTATGGAAAAAATTAATGTTACGGTCTCCTTCTGCCAAACACGAGATTTTAGAACACTGCCTCCACATCCTTTTCTCATCCTCCACAAACCATCAAGTTCTTCCAACAACTTTGTTTCCTCCTCAATTTCTTCTTCCGAACGGAAGCTATGGCAGGAACATCAAGCCTCTGCTTACGTTCATTTTCCCTTCCATTTTGAGCTTCAGCTAAACCTTTCGTCGAATTCTTAAGTCTCTCCTCACAATGTTTCTGTTTCTGGTTGAGTGACCCTCCCGCTGCCCAAGCAATCAAAATCACTTGATGACAATCTTCTTTTACCAACCAACGATCATCAAACCAGAATAGAGGGGGATTTACTATATAAGATAAATAAGCGCAAAAATAAGGGCTGAATGGGGGGAATTCTAGGAGGTATTATTTTATTCGTCTTCCTAATCTTCGACCCAAGCAGGGGTTGTGGAAAATTTATTTTCTTGGGTCGAAATACTAATGATACCTGATCGTATAGAGGAATGGAACTCCAACCGCTGAACTCGGTGGTCTGATCCAATGTTGTTTTCATGGAAAATGGCCCCTTCCTAAAAAAAAAACTCTTGCCAAGATGCGGTACAGAGAACTCGTTCTAATCGACCTTTGATGGGGGGTGATCACCTCTTATCCTGTTTGTCCACGTGAATTGTGGTCCTTTGAAGCCGATGTCAATGCGCCTGTTGTCAAAATAAAGGATTTGAAAGGAACTACAAAATCTCAACAAAGAGGCCTCCCCCACACTTCTCGTAGTCAAACAACATAGCATTTAAATCTTCGATAACAACCCACGGTACATTAGGTTCTCTCCTTAAACTAGACAAAAAATCCCAAAAGATCATCCTCTCACTAGTGATCGAGGGGGCATGAACAAAAGTCATAAAAAACCACTACCATAATTAGTAAATACATCAATAAAATGTCGCCCACAATCCAAAATTTGGATAGAAAATGTAACATCCCGTTTCGGCAAAACCCATATTTCGGTTGTTAGAAAAATATGCGATTTATGTTGAGTGTTTTGATAATATTTCGACGAAAATCAAAATATCGATCGATCGGATAAGTATACGTATTAATTATATATTATATATATATATATATAATTATATAATTATATATATATATATATAATATAATATAATATATAATTATATAATTATATTATATATAATTATATCAAGCGGTCACAGACCACTTATATATTTCTATCCCTTCCCCCTATCCATTTTATTTCTCCATCCTATTCCTCTTCTTCCATTTCCGGGCCGAGAGATAACAGAGAAGCAGAGCGCGCTCAGGGGAGCTAGTGAGAAATTTCCAAAGCTCGATTCTTGAGCTCTACTGATCCAAAAATCCCATAAGTAACGACTAATCCATCTATATATAGTAGTTTATCGATTTAGAGCTTTAAAACGAGTTTTCGGATCTTGAATTTCTTGAAATCCGATAAGCCAAATTAGGATTTAGGAGTATCTGGAAGTCGGATTGAGCCCATATTTCATATACGAGCTTCCTGCAGTGAGGTAATTAATCCTCTGGTTCTAATCCATGAATTTCGACAATTATTTAGGTCGGGGTCCAAATCGGTGATTTTAGCTCTGACTAGGATTTGATGTATTTTTATCGAGAATTTCACTATGAGCCTAGAACTAACATTGACGGGGATACTGCAGGGGATATAAGGACAATCTCGGATTTTGATTCCGGGTTTGTTTTAGAAAAGTGAAGTTGTGGTACGGGAGGCTAGAACCGGTGTTTGAACGACCATAACTGGTGAGGGATTAGCACGACATACCGGGTTTGTCATATCACAATAATTATATTGATGCTTAGAATTAACCTAGGTGAACTAGAATGGTATGATTAGGGGTGTATGGACTTTTGTGCTATATGATGAACCCTTGAGTGTTATATGATATTATTGACTTGCCCTAATCGATATGGACCTTGTTTATGTTGATGATTGCATACATGTTGCCATTTGTGGCATAACTGTTGATATGACTTCATGGTTGTTCGATCATGTGTTTTGTCATGATGTGATATTGTGGTTGTATTTGGATTCACAAGTGGGGGAAATAAACTTCCTAGGGTGATATTATGATGTTTTAAGGAGGATGACTTGCATGAGGGCTTATCCCGAGGAAGTGCAATTATACGACTCCTGGCTTACATATGTTGAGCCAATTGTGGCCAAGTCAAGAACATGTCCAAGTAATGAATTATGATTCAGCAAGATGATATATGAATCATGTATAAGGATACCAAGTAAGAGTATTTTGGTCTCATGGTCAATTACATAGTAATTAGGGCTCCCCATGCTATTACTCTATTATGACATGATAGTCACACCTCTCTTGTGGTGCTGACGGAAGATTATGATATGCATGATAGTCACACCTCTCATGTGGTGGTGGCTGGAGATTATTCATGAGATATGACCACACCTAGATTGGTGTCGGGTATGGTTTCACCTATGGTGGTATGGGGGGTATGTATGTATGATCACATCCTATGGGATGTTGGGTGTGTATGGTGGTCCGGGAGAGTTATTAGCATGGGAGTAGCCAGGAGCCTATAAGTAAAACATGATAAGACGCATATGCATAAGTCAAGATGGTGGAGTCTTTTGCCCATTGGGATATGAGGATGGTTGAGGTCCAATCCTAGTGTTTTGGCTTGATTTCTAGATGTATGGAAGGGGTATGCTTTGTTATGAACTCACGATGCTATGATATTTCACTCAGCT